TTTGAAAATGGTTTAGATTCACAGTTCGGTCGTCTATACATTTTTTAAATTAATTTTTAGTGTTCCGTACCTTCAAAGTTAAAAAAGGGACCCTTATAAGATCACTCTCTTGTTCGTTTGTCTGTCATCTATTTTCTTAGGAACGGGTTCCTACCTAGCAAGTTCAAATTCATACCAGATACCGAGTCCCTATATTACTTAGTATAAAAATGGTTCTGAGTCAGTACGATAAAAAGATATGGGCAAATTTCGATTTTCGCGAAAACTTACCTTATATCAAAATTTCCCTTCATTACTGATTCTTATAGAGATTATTGTCTAAAATGAATCATCTATATGAATTATCTATATGAATTACTTACCAATTTTATTATGGCAATATAATGGATAGGTACTGAACCCTCGGCGTACTAGTTCAACTCGCATTTGACCGGTTTTTTATTTATAAGTTGTTGTCGGATTTGAGACGTGTGTACAGGAAAACGTCTGTCGGGTCCGCTAGTGAAATATGCATTATAATGATAATGTTATAGGAATTGAGTGAAAATGAATACAGTCACGGCGGATCACGTTTCGCTTATGACTAACCGTTATTTAAACGTCAGTTTCATGGCTTTCGTGTGTTGTAAGGTCATCGGTATAAGAAACTTTGAATGAAACTACTTTTGCGGTTTCAATTCGAACGCCTTGAAACTAGTAAAACCTGTTATTTTAGTATCTAATGCTTTGAATGCGTCTTGTCTAATGGGTCGGTTAGATATTGACATGTTTCGCTGTCGGGTAGCGCCTTGGTTTTGATCTAACGTATCGAGGGCACTTGTTTTCACGAGGCAATAATTTTGTTGGACTTTTGTGACGTCAAACAGAAAGTGAGGAAGGTAAATGGATTGGTGTTGCCAATAATAATAAGATTATTATATGTATCTTCTTTTAACTTTAGTCTCGTTCGTGGAAGTATCACTTTGGACCGGGGTGAAGTGCAAGTAACGCGTTATATATACTTTTCGTTTTAAAAGTAAGGTAACCGGCTCGCAATGATGAACCCCTAGATTTTGTAGACGTCCGTGATCCACGTGATTACGTAATATCAGATGAGCCATCTGCTCGTTTGCTCTCACACCGAATAAAAAATTATATTCATATTTGGTGACATAAGTAGTCAGTCTTTCCGTGTGACAGAAAAACAAGTTAAGGAAGTGTGTGTTGTAAAAGATCGAGTTTGGTCCCGCACATAAGCTTAACTACTGAGCTTCTTATTTTGTGGCATTGTGCTCTACCGTGTTTATTGGATATTTAATGTTATTATACCAATACGTACGTATAAAGGGACAAACTGATACAAACTGATTAACAGATCTACATGGATGCCACCAACTCGTTGGGATTTTAAAGCTTACGTTTCGCGATAGGCTGGGTGTATGGCATTTACTCTGAAAATTTTTGAAAACTATGTATAAAGATGTGTAATCACGCATAACAGTTGAGTTGTACATTGCGTTCAGAAATCGAAGAGTTATGGGCCATAGGTAGGATAGGTAGCCATTCATATGATTTTTTATGAGATTTTTTTATTATTTTCAGACTACTAGCGACATCTGTTTAACGCGTTAACAGCGTTAGACTGTTACTGTTATGTCGCTTCAATTCGCTTGTGCGCACCAATAGATGTCTCTGAGATTATAACATCAGGTCTTTTCATACCTGCATCTTTCGGAAGCGAGTGTCCGATGAATTAATAACAAAAATCAAACTCGACTTCAAATATGTCACTAACTATGAATTTTCTATAAAATTTTTAAGAGTTCCCTGATCAATCATCGGAGTCGAAGCCCAATATACCAATGAGATTAATATGGGACCACATGGGAGGAAAACCGAACCCAATGACAAAAGAAAATTAAAACCTAATTGAGAATTCCCTCCTCACTTTTCGAAGTCGGTCAAACGCTAGCGTGCAAGCGGCCTAAGGTTTGATAGTGCAACCGTCGAGATCTCACAGTCTCACTCCGGCGTGCACAAAGTGGGACAGCGATGAGGCATCAATTCGAACCGGCGATAAAGTCCATCCGTTACGAGGCATTAATTTAATTACGCGGGCCGGCCCACACGCCACCGCCTCTTAGCGATTTTGATCTCTGAAGTGGTTCGTTTAGAGTCCATATTGCCCTGATAGAGTTGACACGCAAGCTAGAGCACGTCAAGGAGCCAATTGAAGACGCTCCGCCGAGATAGTCGGTGGATATGATGCGGCTAATTTATACTGTGCATCGTTAACTAGGGACAGTCAGTGTTGTTCCTATGCACTATCAATTAGGCCGTTTTTTTATTTTTTTTCCACCCGATAACGGTCGAGCGGCGTGGGCGGTAGGCTTGTTAATTGAAAACCCTCGTACACGACATGCGCTGGTCACTAGATGTCGCGGTTTTACATTATTGGAAATGTACTTGATGTCGTCATAAAATTGGAGCAAGTTTCAAATGCATCGAAACATTTTGTTGACGTCCATAATAGCTTGAAGCAAGTTTTAATTGGATAAATAAATTGATTTTAAGTTAGAAACTTGATTCTGTTTGTTAATGTCTGATTGGATAGATTCTGATGGTAAAGTTAAATGTTCTGTAATGCTTAAAGTGTGGTAGAGACACAAAGCCGTCTGCTGTTGACAAATGAGCAGGCTAGTTAGGGGAAGTAACACGATTTCACGGAAGACCGGCGCGAAGTGGAAGTGTTATAATTCTGCGTTTCGTCTGGTGGGTGAGTGGTTCACTTTATTAAAAAGCCACGCGTCTGCAACCCTTCAAGTGTTGCAGAAGTGCATGGGTGGCTGTTATCACTTACCATCAGATTAAGCGTCAGCTCGCTTGCTATATAAATATTCGCCCCGTACGAAAACGAAGCTAGAACTTGCAATTCGATGCCTATATTCTTCGATCACTGTTAAAATGATCTCCATTTTCACAGAAATCACACGCAAAACAATGATTACTTTGGTTAACCGTAATTTTAATTAACTGTTTATGAAACAGGACCCAAACATCTCACACGTCTTACACGAACATGATTTGATAAAGACAAATGACCCCAATGAAAACAATTGATAGAAATATACACTGGTTCTAAATGTATCTCCGCACGTTTTTGATTGCACAATTTAACCGTCCCTTTAACGTCGATTGTTACTCATGATGCTATTTTGTCCCGAGACCGACGAGAGCAATTAGTGAGACCCATTTAATTAATATCGTTTAAAGTATATGAATGTATTTACTCACTGTAAAACCAAGCAATAGCTCAGTCTTAGCGCATGCTTTTAATTCATTATGAGTTGAAATCCTTCTGCACACTCAAATGAAATTGTTAATTATAAGCGCTGACTTGTCACGTCAAGGAAAACATCGTGAGGAAACCTGCATTGTCGAAACAAATAAATACAATATTTAGAAGACATGTGAAGTCTGCCAATTTTCTTGGTAGATGTATCAACTTTTTAAATAAAATAGGTGACATCCACAAACAACTAAGTATAAACAATTTCAAACAATTTGTAAAAGTTACCTTAATAGCAAGGGCCTACTATAATGTCCAAGAATACATTGAGTACAAGGATGTGTGGAAATGACTCTTGCTCTGCACTTGCAAGACCCCTGGCTGCTGTTGATTTTATACCTAAATAAGTTTGTATAATTGCATTACAAAAAAAAAGTAACAAAAAGAACAAGACCACATAGTTTCCTGCCGGTTCTTCTCTTTGTTTTATTTCTCTTGTTCTTTTTTATGTGACAAAGTGGCAAACGAGCTGGCGATTCAGCTGATTTTAAGTGATAACCGCCCCCGTGGACATTTGCAACACCCGTAGGTTGTTGATAACACAGATGTGTTGGTACCTTTCAATAAAGTGGGCCCCGGGTCCCCACTCACCAGACGAAACGCACTTCCACTTCACGCCAGTCTTCTGTGGGGTCGTGGTACTAACCGGCAGGGACCTGCCCATTCGTACAACAAGCCTGTTCCTTGGCCCTGCCACAGTAAATATGAATATATGATTGCCACAACAACATAAAACCACTTTAACATACGTTGAGCTACAGTAATCTAATGTTTACTCTGTCGATTCGTAAGTATACTAAATCCCGCTAAGGAAATGATCGGTTGTTACTGCAAGCATTAATGCCAACTAACGTCCAACTCCAACGCCAACCGGTCGGTTCTCGAACTGACGCCAACAAGTCTTTCAAAGCGATTACGGCGAGCCAAACGACTATGCAAAGCTGACGTCCTTTATGTACGATTTGTTGGCTTTATACATAGGTACACAGACTCAGTAGATAGCGAATATTCCTTACGTTTTTGTTTCGTGTGTAATAAGTATCGTTTACGCTTAACGGAATACGATGAGAGGTTATTAAATGAACATACAGTATTATAATAAATAAAAAAAATATTATTTATTTATTTATTTAATGAACACACAATATTGATCGGTACCGTTCGATGTCTAAATAAAACTGTTTTACGGATTTTGTTTTCCTTAACTTTGTAATATTGTCCGTTTTTTAAAGTCCCCACGTTTGGAACGCTTTACAGCGCTCACGATTACGGTACAGATTGATTTGCTTATCGTCCTGTTGTAGTTTTTTTGCTCATATTTTTCATTTTATGCTTGTCTCTGTGACTGAACTTCTCTTCTTCTGAGAATTTTATATTTGCAATTCGATCCACTACGGTATGTTTTTTTTAACTACTTATATATTTATAAGTCGCTGTCGGACTTGAGACGTGTGTATAGGACAAAGTCGGTGTCGTGTAGTTTATTACTGTTCCACTAGTTCCGATTTACGCAAAAAGAGCTCGGGTCTCGCAGTGCTGGTTTGCGAGACTTTTAATTCATAAATTATTGTGCTGATTATCATTCGAATTGAACTTTATATTCCTCTATTTTTTTTTAAACCTTTGAAGACCTAACGGCGTATCTACAATGTCTCTTCCATCCGATTTGTAGGCATCGTGTCCGTATCGGACGGCCACGTCGAGGTGGCGTCGGCCCGCGAGAACTGGCGGCCCCTGCTGACCCACTACGCCGGGCCGGTGGCAGCCCTGACCCTAGCCGCCCTCTTCGCGGCAGCCCTGCCGCTAGCCGGGTACGTGTGCACACCTTTAGTCGATTAGGAAAAGTGGTGACATCACATATACAGATGTAAAGCTCCACCTTAGAACACCTCTTGTAAACAAAACACTCAATTTAACTATACTCGCTTCGTCGAATAGAAAATTCTGCAAAACTGCTGACAATCTACTGCTAATAGACGAGATAATCAACGATAGCCTGTATAAATATATCCAAGTATAATCCATAGATATATAATCCATTCACATTACAGAATAATGGACACAGAAAAAGTTGATACGGAACTTAACACACAAGTGAATGTTCTTCTATGAGCGAACACAACATGCACAAAAAACACTCAACAATAAATAATTGTACAATGAAAAAAAAAAATAACTTCAAACAAAATAAAAATGAAAAACAAAAGAAACTAAAGCTAAATTAAAAATATTAGATAAAACAACATTTAAACTTAACTTAAAGTTACGAATAATAAAAAATTATTGAAATAAATTTTAAATTATAGCTTAGCCAATTGGGACAGCTAATATACGTCGGCAGTTTTCCTTGGAGTTTAAACGAGGTTAGATATTGAGAAGTGAATTTATCTAAATACACTTTTGAAGTTATAAGGCAGGTGTATGTTAAAATTGTGTCGGCAAATGTAGTATTCTAGTTTCTTTACAATTTAAAGTTTTCGATGGCAAAGTTTGCTTGTGTAATCCCAGAATCTATTGGAATTTTTTTAAGATCATTAAAAACTTTTGTTACTCGAAATTACTTTTGACAGACTTGAGATAGGTTTCATTCTGAAATAAGACTATGTAAAACTTGTAATGCAATGATTAAGATGGAGACTAATAAATACATTACAAGCAATGAGTGCAATCTCAATTTCTAAATGAAAAAAAATTGTAAAGGAACGTTTGTGCGTTAAATTTTTTTATAATATTCTGGTTATTTAAATTATAACACACCCTGGAAATGAATTGTCCGCTCTAGGCTCTTTCAAATGGACTTCAATACATTTGTAAGCATGTTTTTTTTGTCAAATAATGGCTAAAAAAATGTCCCACTGAGTTTCTTTCGCCGGTTCTTCTCAGGTCAGTGGCTTTTCTTTTGCGAACCGGTGGTAGCGCTTTGACAATCAGTGAGTGTAATTGAATAAGGAAATTTGAATTTGAACTTGAGTCTCTTGTTGGTTCGCAGCCTGTTCTGGTGCTGCTGCCAATGGTGCCGCGTGGGCCGGCGACGGCGCCCCTTCGACCGCAAGTACGACGTCTGCATCAAGGGGATCCTGGCCATCGTGCTCATCGGGCTGCTTACTCTGTTTCTGTGAGTCCTCATCGGGATTCCTATCCTGTTTCTGTCTGTACTGATTTATTGGGCCCGCATCGTGCGTGGATAAACTCCGATAATAAGTTGTTTCAAGTAAATAGTTTCGTGTCGATTTTTATTCTTTACTCTCCGGAGATTATTGAAAAGCCTCTAATGTAATTGGTGTATAACACTTAGAATGAAGTAACTGTTAACGACTCTGATAATTGTTAAGGACAGATGTATTTTTATCCTTATTTGTAATATTAATAGAGAATACTAGCTACTGTTCTAACGATCAAACAGTATGGGGCGCTTTGATGTTAGAGAGGGCTGGTGGTATCAATTCCAAAGAACATAATAATATGCTTGCTGCGTCGATGTCAAAGGTGTTATAAGCAACTTGCTACTGCATGTCACAGAGAGTAATGGGAGTTGAGTCATGATGACAAAGTGAACAATTAGTCGTACATCCTCATGATTAAATTAAAGAGAATTATTAAAAGAGTGAGGAACTCGGTGTATCAATCAAGTTGCTATCTTGATTTAACCGAGGACCAACTTAACAAGCTTGAGCGAATTCAAAACTTAGCTATCAGATTTATTTTCGGTCTACGCAAGTATGACCATGTCTCCGAATATCGTACAAAGCTCAAGTGGTTACCCATCCGCCTTCGCCGGAATCTGCATATTGTTTATCTTCTGTACTGTGTTTTGTTCAATCCTATGACTCCGAGTTATTTGAAGGAACAGTTTAAATTTCTTGGTCATGACAGACCAGAAAGAGTTCTGCGATCAGCCAGTGAACTCATTATCACCCCGCATACTTTCCGGACCAATTATTTTAAGAACTTTTTTACGGTCAAAGCCATTTGCCTATGGAACGCGCTTCCTCCACACATCCAGCGCTCAAAAACGTTACGCAAGTTTAAAACTGACGTTAAAGATTATTATCTGTCACTTCTGTGTTCAAGCTGACTATCACCGACGACATTTGTATATTTATTTTTTATTCTTTTCTTCCTGTATATATTTTTGTAAGTTATTGTACAGTATATGTTTAGATTTATGTATGTCTATTGGATCTTATTTCGTATATATTAGTATATTATTATTATACAAAAATACAACATATTGGTTTAGTTTATTTAAATATTAGTATGTAAGTTTATTATTTACACCACCTACCGTTGTCCAAATTAAAATATTTTTAACCACAAGGTTGTCTGGAAGAGATCGCTCCTTAGCGATAAGACCGCCTTATTGTTTATACCTCTTAAGTTTATAGTTCTGTAACATTTCCTTTCATGTTTTTTTTGGTGTTCAATAAAGAATATAATATCAATCAAACAAATTTTAATAAGGTTTTGATGCCGATAATAAAGAGAACACTGAGAGACTTTGGGTGTCTATGAAGATGTATCGAAGAGACTATATGGTTTAATTTTAATTTTGATTTTAGGTTACGGCTATATTGTGTCGACAGTAATACTACGGAGTCCGTAAATGAATTAAAAACAATATTTTAAAAAAATATATAAATATTTTTGGACACATTTTTACACAACGTTCTCTAGTCCCAAACTAAGCAACGCTTGTACTATGGGTACTAGATAACTGATAAACATACTTAAACATACTTTTCTTTTTGTAAATAAATACATATCATACATACATAAACACCCAGACGCTAGAAAACCACTACGTCCATCGCACAATACTTTTCCAGTAGCGGGGATCGAACCCACACCCTCCGGCGCAGGAGGCAGGTACCACTACCAGTGGGCAGTGACGCCCTTTGGGTCGTCTAACGATGTTAACGTTGAGCATACCGCGACAGTTTCGGCGTCGTGTGCGCCTTCGCGACCGACTCGCAAGTGGAGAGCGGCGCCATGGGGACCCCGGGTGCCATTAAGCGTGGGGTCCGAGATGCCCGCGAGTTTTTAAACGCCACGCAGGCCCACGCGCGCCACCTCCTAGTGCAGAACTACGCGGAGCTGGAGCGGCGCCTGAACGCGATGCTCACCTGTGAGTGATGTGCACAATGATCCATACTAATATTATAAATGCGAAAGTTAGTCTGTTTCTCTGTCTCGCTTTCACGCCAAAACTTGTATTATAAATGCGAAAGTAACTCTGTCTGTCTGTCTCGCTTTCACGCCAAAACTACTGAACCGATTTAAATGAAATCTGGTACACAGATAGTCTAGAGCCTGAGAAGGGACATAGGTAATCTTTTAATTGGAAAAAGGACTATAACTGTGTGGTAGTGGTACTTACGCGGACGAGCCTGCCCATTCGTGCAACAGCTGAGGCCAAAACCTACCAGTGGCCCCAATTAGCGAGTGATTCCGCGCGCAGACAGCGGCGTGACGATGTCCGCGCGCCTCGGCGAGGTGTCGCGCGGCGCGGCGGTGGCCAAGCTGCAGGCGCTGCTGCGCCAGCTGCCGCCCGCGCGCGCGGACCTGCTCACGGTGCGCGACCGAACGCAGGCCCTGCGCGCGCACGCCGAGCGACTCAACTCCGGTACGCGAACACAACCACCAGCCATATTCCCGGACCGCGCACGCAGGCCCTGCGCGCGCACGCCGAGCGACTCAACTCCGGTACGCGAATACAACAACCAGCCATATTCCCAATGTTGCCCTTTCCTTTCCTTCCTATCGTCCTTCTCTTTCTCTTCTTCCTATCCCGAACGCAGGCCCTGCGCGCGCACGCCGAGCGACTCAACTCCGGTACGCGAATACAACCACCAGCCATATTCCCAATGTTGCCCTTTCCTTTCCTTCCTATCGTCCTTTCTCTTTCTCTTCTTCCTATCCCGAACGCAGGCCCTGCGCGCGCACGCCGAGCGACTCAACTCCGGTACGCGAATACAACCACCAGCCATATTCCCAATGTTGCCCTTTCCTTTCCTTCCTATCGTCCTTCTCTTTCTCTTCTTCCTATCCCGAACGCAGGCCCTGCGCGCGCACGCCGAGCGACTCAACTCCGGTACGCGAATACAACCACCAGCCATATTCCCAATGTTGCCCTTTCCTTTCCTTCCTATCGTCCTTCTCTTTCTCTTCTTCCTATCCCGAACGCAGGCCCTGCGCGCGCACGCCGAGCGACTCAACTCCGGTACGCGAATACAACCACCAGCCATATTCCCAATGTTGCCCTTTCCTTTCCTTCCTATCGTCCTTCTCTTTCTCTTCTTCCTATCCCGAACGCAAGCCCTGCGCGCGCACGCCGAGCGACTCAACTCCGGTACGCGAATACAACCACCAGCCATATTCCCAATGTTGCCCTTTCCTTTCCTTCCTATCGTCCTTCTCTTTCTCTTCTTCCTATCCCGAACGCAGGCCCTGCGCGCGCACGCCGAGCGACTCAACTCCGGTACGCGAACACAACCACCAACCATCTTCGCAATGTTGCCCATCTCATTCTTAACGTACTTCTCTTTCTCACATCCCGCACGCACACGGGCGACTCAACTGCAGTACGCGCACACACCCATCAGCCATCATCCTGATGTTTCCCTTTCTTTTCTTTCCTATCGTTCTTCTCTTTCTCACATCCCCCACGCAGGCACTGCTCGCACAGGCCGAGCGTCTCAACTCCGGTACACGCACACAACCACCAGACATCTATCTTCCTTCCTAATGTTTCCACCTCTTCTCCTTCCTATCGTCCTTCTCTTTCTCTTCTTCATATCACGCACGGCCACGAGCGACTCAACTCCGATACGCGAACGCCAACACCGATAACCATATTCATTTCTAAAGTTGCCCCCTCTTCTCCTTCCACTCTTCCTTTCTTCCTTACGTCCTTCTCTTTCTCTTCCTCATATTCCGCATACAGACCGACTCGGACCCTTTCTCACCTCCATTCCTATTACCTTTCCTCTAACTATTCGCACCCTCTTATTCTTTGTCTTTCGTTACCCTTATCGTCCCCTCTTACCCTTATCCTACTCGTCTACCGCTAACGCTTTGCAAATTACTCTTACAATTTCCTAATTAAACTTTACTAGGATTTAAAGTGTAAATAATTCTTGTGTATTGTTTTCATTAAAAGCCTTGATCTTTGCCAAGCTTCTACGATCTACAATAACTTCTAACAATAGCTCATCAATTAAAATTTTTGTCAAATCGATCTAAATTAAAACTCTTTCAATAGATTATTTCAAGACCTAGTAGAATAAATACTCATTATTATATACAGTTTAGTAATGTAATTTTAATTCGTAAATTTTATATTCCCTCAGGCCTTCGTAAGGTGAAGGCACTGCTCCTGCAGACGCTCAACGACTGCGAGCAGCCAAAGTGCAGGGAGCTGAAGGAGAAATACAAGATCGGCCAACTCGACACGGAAATTCAGTACAGTCGGGTAAATGCCTTTCACTTACCTTCCTCAGGCTATCGTCTCTTTACTCGCTAAGCTATCAAAATGTAATAACAGTTTAATAATTACGAACCCGTCCCATTTAATCCATACTAATATTATAAATGCGAAAGTAACTCTGTCTGTCTGTTTCGCTTTCACGCTAAAACTACTGAACCGATTTAAATGAAATTTGGTAGAAAGATAGTCTGGAAACTGAGGAAGGACATAGGCTATTTTTTAATTGGATTTTTTTAAAAGAAAGATATTTATTTAAGGGCTTCAACGCGGGCGAAAAGCTAGTAAAATAAATCAAAATAAGACTGTGTTTGAACACAATAATTTACTGTGAAAGTGTGTGTCGATGAATGCAGGTGGCTCAGGCTTCGTGACAGGCCTTGGAGCGTGGTGCTCATCAGTGGTCTTAAAACAGGCTGAAATGATGAACACAATACTTAATTATTTTTAATAAATTATCAACAACACTAGCAGTTACGGTGGTAGGGCCACGCAGCAGCCTCGGCTGTTGCACGAATGGGCAGGCCCGTCCGGGTAAGTGGTACTTACGACCTCACAGAAGACCGGCGTAAAGTGGAAGTATAACAAATACTTTCGCGTTTCGTCTGGTGAGTGAGGTAGCCGGAGCCCAATCTTCAAAAGGTTGTCAACGCATCTGTAACCCTCGGGTGTAGCAGATGTCCATGGGCGGCGGTATTCACTTACCATCAGGTGAACCGTCTGCTCGTTTGGCAACAACTTTTTACATAAAAAAAAAAAAAAAAAGTTAGCAGTAATCTGTACATACATTGTGGAAAGATAATTTGCTGGATGACGTTCCGAAGGTTCGAATCCTGGTAGCGGTATAGCTGGTAACTTCATCTTGAGTGCAGACTAGCACTAAAAATTAATCACAGATTTCAATAGCCAGGGCCACTTTGTCTCCCGTTCAAGTATTCGTTGTAAAATAATATTTTCAAGTATTGCCACATTGTTTCTTAGCGACTTAGGTAGCGCCAAATATTGCTAATAATGCATTAAACAGAATGTAGGTAGATGACAAGATTTTCGCTTCGAGCTCAGTTGGCTAAAGAATTTCGGCGCGTTACCAGGAAGTCGTAGGTTTGAAACCTGGCATCCTTAAAAAATATTCGTCAATTTATCTACAAACATTTAAGTTTCACTTTGTGTAAAGACTGGCACTAAAATAAAGTGTCACCGTTGAATAACTAATTATTAAATAACAATTGAAATGATTTATTTTCATCAAAAATACATTACATCTTAAAATTGTTTCAATTTCACGCTCGCCTATGGACCAGATGCTAGATCAATATTTTCCGACCGTAAGTAAAGTAAAAATGACTCTTATGAATATAACAATAAATATCTTCGCTATAGCATGCGCGTTGCCTCCATATAAGAACAAAAAGTTTCAATCAATATAAATTTTAGTCTGCCATTACAGTTTTTTACTAGTTGAAATTGACCATTTCACCTTGAAAAAGGTTCAAAGTGGAAGGTTAGTAAGTATGCGAGGGGGAGCCACAGATGGCGGATGTGTCGGAATTAAATCAAAATTTTGCTTCAATCAATATAAATTTTCGTCTGCCATTACAGTTTTTTATGGTTGAAATTGAAAGTTCACCTCGAAAAGGGTTCATAGTGGAAGGTCAGTGAGTGTGCTACGGGACGCCGCAGATGCCGGACGTGTCGGAGGTGCTGAGCAACGTGAGCGCGCTGCTGGAGAGCAACATGACGGCCGAGGTGTCGGCCGGGCTGGAGGTGCTGCTGGGGCTGCAGAGGGGGCTCCGGGCGGCGGTGGACGACCACGTGCCGGCCGTGCAGGAGGCGCTGGCCGAGACAGGTGGGCGATATAGGCCCGCTTGGCCTCTCTCTAGGTGGAGCAGATCTATACAGGTCCGAAGGCGAGGCAATCCCTACTTCGTAGTTTGTGCCGAAGACCACACTCTTAGCCCTTAGTGAAAATCATTGAATTCACAGTGCATCCACGCTACTGTTCACGCTGTTGCTGTTAGTTTATCCAGTTGTCCAGTGTCTCTGTATTTGAGCCAATCCCTACTTGGTAGCTCTTATTGAATAGCAGTGAGACCACAATTAATCACTTCGACGGACAAGGCGCACTGGTTCCTGTGCAGTTTCTTAATAATTTGCCCCTTGGTCAATAAGGAGTATCTCGTTCGACGCCAGTGGCAACAATACGAGCCTTTTATGATAAGGAAAGTCCTTGCGATGCATGTGTGTGCATACATGAGCATGCTCGAGTATAGCACACGCGTGTCTCTCCCGCTCAGGGCGGCAGCTGAGCGCGATGGCCGACTCGGTGACGGCGCTGGCGGGCAACGCGAGCGCGCGCCTCGCCGAGCACGCGGGCGCCGCCGACTCGCTGCGGCAGGCGCTCGACGACTACGGCCCCTACCGGCGCCACGCGGGCCGCGCCGCCGCCGCCGCGCTGCTGCTCGTGCGTGACCTTCACATCCCCGCTGACCCCCGACGCCCTCCACCGACCCCCCCACCAACCCCCGCATCTGTCAACACTTCTATCGACCTCTTTCTTTCTTCAAAACTTCATTACCCATATTCAAAACCCCCTCCGCCCGTCTCACCTTTGGCACGTTACACTTGCTTCTTCATGACTCTGCTGCCTCCTTCGTTCGCAAGGTTCCTCGGACCCCTTGCGCTTTGCACTAGTTCCTCTCACTTGTCCATACACTCCTTACCTCAACCCTCCCAATTCATTACCCAGAATTAAAGCCCTTGCGCTCACCTGCCCGTAGTCCCCTCACACCTCATACTTGTTCCTTTATCACTTGCTCCCCCATACCTGATATTGCCCCAACTCTATTGCACACATTTAAAGGCCCCTTTACCTCAGAATCCTTATGGCTAGAACTTACTCTTGCAACTGTTACCTCCTTTGCATTCCTGGTCCGTTGCCACCATGTCTTATTATTTAATGCACGTAAAACCCCCGTGTCGGTAGATCACGTGCCTCATGGCCTGGGGCCTGCTGTGCGGCGTGTGCGGCAAGCGACCCGACGTCTACGGCGCCAGCGACTGCTGCAACAAAGGCGCCGGCGCCAGCTGCTTGCTGTGGTCAGTATGCGACGCGACTATACGTGGTTGATGGTTCACGACGCGACTGTACACAATGAAAGGGTATAAGTCGTGACTGTACGCGGGTGATGATGCACGACGCAACAGTACATGGTAAACGGACATAAGCCATGACTGTAGTACACGCAACTACGCGTTTGACAATTCGTAACGCGACAGTACACGGTGAACGGGTGTAAGGCATTACTGTACGTAATTCACAGTTCACAACGCGATTATACTCGTTACATGATTCGTTATACGACATTTCTTTGCTGCAGATATATAACAACAATTCTCTCAATATATATATGACTCTCAATATATATATGAAAATGTTATGTATGTGCGTAGAAATATTAATAATTTTGATAAGAATACTGATATACATAATGTGAACACTAGGAACAAACACAAGCTTGTAATGCCAGTTACGAGACTCCATAGAGTAAGTAACTCGTTCATGGGGCGGTGTATACGCTTTTACAACAAAATCCCAGTAAATGCGCAAAACCTGCCTATTAACAGGTTTAAGAAATTTATTAAAGAAAAACTTTATAAAAAGGGTTATTATAATACAAATGAATACATTAATGACAATAACCCCTGGGAATGAGTTGATCGCTCCCAAGCTATTTCTAAAAGGAAAAAAATCAGTTCTATAATTTTTGAAGCGCCAGTTTCTTCTCCGCTAGAGGAACCTCATTACGAAACGGTGGTAGATTTAAAAAAAAAAAAATATGACTATTGATAAATGAAATGTAAGTTTCTTATGTCGATGAATAAATGATTTTGATTTTGATTTTAATTTTGATTTTAACGCGATCGTAACGATTCACGTTTTTCAACACGATTGTACTCGATTCACGATTTAGGAAGCAATCCGTACGCGAGTCGCAACTGTGCTCGCTACTGCAGGGTATGCTGAGAACAACGGGTCAAAGGGACTTGCGATTGTTATAATTAATTTAGCAAGGTGCACCCGCGACTGTACTCAAGTCGTAGTGTGGACGGTAGAGTCGATCTAATCTGACTGACATGGTCGTGTCTGTACTCTGTTTAAAAGTAGTTTTTACCTACAAATAAGGTACCACTCATCACTTTTTAGTAAACTTCGTTTACTTATTCTATTTCGGTGTGTAGTTTGTTGGTGATAGTAAATAAATAAATGACCTTCTATATTTCGGAATCATTAGCAATGGAATCGTGTGCTTTAAATTCAAGAAAATAAAAAAATCTCAAGCTTTTAATTTCCATTGTTCGTTGCAGCGGTATGGCGGTGACGTTCCTGGTGGGCGGTATCATAATAGTGGTGATGATGGTCTACTTCATCGTGGGCGTGACGAGTCAGCGCTTCATTTGCGACCCGCTCACGTGAGTTATCATCTATTTCACTGAATGATAATCTTTCGGGCAATTTGGGGTTGCAGCTCTGTGCATGACGTTCCATCAAAAACTTCCATGAAGACCTAAATAAGATGGATGTTGATGACGGCCACGCTGCTTCACCTGAAATATAAAATAATTATAATTAGTTTTTGTAAACATTTGATTTTATTTAGCGTCAAAATTACTATTGTCATATATCATATTATATAATTACTTACCTTTAAGTTAACTACTTACCTTTTGTCACCTTTATGAATGAATGAATGAATGAATGAAATATACTTTATTGTACACAACCAACGGATATTGAAGAATCAACTAAAATAATACAGAACTGTACAATAGGCGGCCTTATCGCTAAGAAGCGATTTCTTCCAGGCAACCTAGTAAAAGGAAATAGTAAAAACAGTAGCATTGGGTAACGGTGTACACTGAATTAATAAGAGAAACTTATAAATCAAAATATAAATACATATTAATAAATTATACATAAATACACATGCAAACACGATATATAAATATATACGTTATAAATAATATATAAGTATTTAGATATAAGTTGACAACATCGACGAATGGAACACAATGATTAAGGAGGCATAAAATGTTTTCTTAAAAGTCGCTTGAAAATTGGTAGGGGTTGTGCCCGCCTAATATGTAGTGGGAGAGAGTTCCAGAGCCGAACAGCTTCCACAGAAAAGGATTTGGAGTAGAAAGATGTACTATGGGGAGGAATTCTGAGGATTAAATTGTCATCGGAGCGGAGAGATCGATCTGGGTGAGAATCACAAAGATACTCAAATCGCTTCTTAAGATAAGGAGGGGTGGTTGGATTGAATAGAACAGAGTATAAGAGCGAAAGAAGGTGAGTATTCCTGCGAAGGCGGATTGGAAGCCACTTGAGCTTATTTCGGAATTCAGAAATGTGGTCATATTTACGAAGTCCAAATATGAACCGTATGCAAAGATTTTGGATGCGCTCAAGTTTATTAAGTTGTTCAACGCTTAAGTCTAAGTAACATGTATCGGCATAATCTAGAATTGGTAAGAGGAGAGATTCCGCGAGCGCAATTTTGGTAGGTATGGGTAAGAAGTAACTCAATCTACGAAGAGAATTAACTGCTGCAAACATCCCTCTACTTACTTCACTAACCTGAGGAACCCAAGAGAGAAATTTATCAAACACAACACCTAGATTTTTAACCGTATCGCTATATTGCAATTGGACCCCGTCAAAAACTATACAAGGAAGATTAGCCCAGTCAATACGTGAAACCAATCTTTGGCTGCCTATAATAATAGCTTGTGTTTTGGATGGATTTACCTTCAGTCCATAAGAATTGCTTCATTCTACAATGGTGTTTAGGTCTTTATTAACTGCATCTATTGTCATGGTTAAATCTGGTAATTTGGATTGAGCGTAGACTTGGAGATCATCAGCATACAGATGGTAGAGAGAAGTTAAATGTTGAGTGATTGAACTAATGAAGATTGAGAATAGGAGAGGAGACAACACGCCACCTTGCGGTGCCCCGGCATTTATCGGACTCCAGTCTGAATACTTCTCCTCGATCTTAATCCGTTGCCGGCGCCCGTGCAAGTAACTGTGAAACCAGTCAACGACCTTAGGAGATATGTTTAGAGAAGTGAGAATGGCTAAAAGTAACTCATAATCAACATTATTGAAAGCGTTGCTTTATGTATTTGTTCTTGAATTTAAATTAATAAAATGGCGTATACATACGAGGACGGTGATTTGTATTTCGCGCGCTTAGGGTTTATCATATTTTAAAAATAAGTGGAAGGTAGCTGTACTTTGTTGCACAGCCGTTGAATTTGACCGTTGACGCGAGCCTAGTCAGTTGCACTTGGACATCATACGGGGACGCACATATGTCACTCTCCTCGCGGATGTATACGCGCTCACCGAATTTCTGCTTTATGATTTGCTACCTGACGACACCAGCGACCTACTTCGCCCACAATGGATATTTTACAAAAAAAAAAAAGCCAAAGGCTGTTTTTAAAGCAAATTTCAATACAATTATTAGTGATACAGTAAGACGCATCATTTAGGAGGAACATGTGCCTAGAAGAGTGATAAGTATGGTATGACGATGAATGGTTGGAGGGTGTAAAGCTGGAGAAAGACGAGAAAGATTTGGATGGACTGTGTGAAGAATGTCTGTGAAAGGGGTCAGTATTGAGATAACAGCTGATAGAGGAAATTAGAAGGAAAGAACATGATGTGCCGACCCCACGTAGTGTGAGATAATGGCAGGAGAAAGATGGTCTTTTGGAAGGAGCGTACTATCATTGTCATGTCCACGCCGTCGAAAATGCTGGTAATGGTAAAGGTCTAATGGATGTATACTTGCATAATATCGAACATTGTTTTTTCCGTGTTTCTATAACCGTGTCCCATAATGAGGCGGTGAGATTCGAACCGTATAACTCACTTTCTGCCACGCCTCACCAGGTTGTGGAATCAGTTGTCGCCGGCGGTTTCCGCGCCGATATGACTTGAGGGGGGGGGGGGGTACCCTAAAGAAGAGAGCCGACCCCTTCCTCAAAGGCGGGCAACGCATTAGTTAGTCCTCTGGTGTTGTGAGTGTTCGTGGGCGGCGGTGAACACCTTTCTATGTGATAAGGTGGCAAACGAGCTGGCGGTTCACCTGATGTTAAATGATAACCGCCCCCGTGGACTTGTGGGCCCCGGTTGCTTCACGCACCAGACGAAACGCACAAGTGTGAAACTTCTAATTGCCGACCGTCTTCTGCGAGGGCGTGGTACTTACCCGGACTGAACTGCCCATTCTTGCGAGGCCCTTCCAGACTTGTCATCATGTCTGCTCGTTTGGTTGCTTTCTATATAAAAAAAAAACTTGGCAATATGCTGTTGTCCAGGGAGCCGCGGGGGAATCGCGTGTTCGAGGACGTGGAGCGCTTCGTGGATCTGGACTGGCGCGACTCGGATTTGAACCTGACGGCCGTCATGCTGCGCTGCCATAGCAACCTCACCATATACGAGGTACCACGAAATCATTACGGGATCTGCGTTTTATGATAGCGACGTGCGTATATTGAGGATCCGATTGGCGTGGGGAACAGTGAACATGTTTCTTTCGCCAAAGGGTGTGGGTTCGATCCCCTATTGGACGAAATAATGTGAGATGGACGATGATATATACGTATATTGATGTTTTTTTTATTTACGCCTGGTTTTTGATATACTGGCTATAGTAGAAAATACTAATCAGTTTTCAAAGTTTCACGTAAAAAAACATCTATACATGTTTTTATTTTGTTTTACGTGTGTTCGTGGATAACTTCGCTGTATTCGAACCAATTTTGATGATTTTTTTTGTCGGAAAATAGATATCCCAAGTGTGGTATGATAATAAGGAAACCCGAATCTGATGAAGTCACTCCAGAGAAATGGGGGGTAATTCTCAAATGTTAATGGTGTTAATAATGTTTTGATTAATTTCGGTTTGTTTAGTTCAAAATGATTGAATAGTTAATCTGTTGACCGCAGACGCTCGAGCTGTGGCGCGTGTACGACCTGGCCGGGCTGCCGGCGGCGGTCTCCCGCGGCGTGGCGGAGCGCGCGGCGCGGCTCAAGCCGGCGCTGCCGCGCGGCCTCGTCATCCTCTCTGCGGGCGCGCGCGCGCAGCTGCGGCGCCTCGCCGACGCGGGCCTCTCCGAGTTCCGCTTCGAGCGCATCCCGCGCGCGCTCGAGACCAACGTCACGTCGCTCGAGCTGGCCGGCCTGGGCGCGCAGCTGCGCAGCACCGCGCGGGCGCTCGAGGCGCGCGCCGGCTACGAGCACGTGGCCGAGCGGCTCGACGACGCCGCGGCGCGCCTCGCCGCGCTCCAGGCCGACGTCGTGCTGCCGATGCTCGACCACGCGCGCGAGCTCAACGTGAGTGCTCAATCTCTCTCTCTCTCTCTCTCTCTCTCTCTCTCTCTATCTCTATCTCTGTCCCCCTTGCCCATTAGATATGTTTCGTTTGAAACAACTCCAATCCTTGCGCCCTACGTTTCTTTTAAAACTATTAAATAAATGCTCTCTCTCTCTCCCCCTTCTCTTTCCTCTCTCCCTGAAGAGAGAGAGAGAGATCAGAGAGAAATCTCTCTCTCTCTCCTCCTCTCCCTCTTCTCTTTCCTCTCTCCCTGAAGAGAGAGAGAGAGCAGAGAGAAATCTCTCCTCTCTCTCTTCCCCCCCCTTCCCCTCTCCCTCTTCTCTTTCCTCTCTCCCTGAAGAGAGAGAGAGAGCATAGAGAAATCTCTCCTCTCTCTCTCTTTTTCTCTCTCTATCCCCCTTCCTCTCCTATCTACCCCCTTCCCGATCTCGATATGTTATAAAATTCTCTCTTTCTCTCTGTCTCTTCCTTAGCCCCAGATTTGTTATCTTCATATAAGAATAAAAGAAACATATTTATTCACGGTATAACCACAATAAATACATGTAACAATTTTATAGATAGTAGATAGAATAACACAGGTCATTAAGTAATATTATCAAAATTAAAATAAATTAGAAGATCAAAAAAAATTAAACTCTGCGTAACATGACAAGACCGTGAAATAGATATTGTTATATCTCTCTCTTTCTCTCTCTTACATCTGTTTTTTTTTTTCAAAATTGATCCAAAGAAAATCTTTCAATAAGTTTTAACTCTTTCACCACTTTTAAACACTACAAATCACCACACAGACTAAACTTTGAAATGTTTTCTATTAATCTCCTTATATAACCAGACATTTGAAACGAATACCCGTTTTCGAGGTCGTTATTGTAATTTAAGTTTACGTTAAGTTAACTTTTTATTTGCCCACCGATTAATTCCTTCGCGTTGTTTTGCAGGAAACCGCACTAAAACTGCGTGACGGATTACGCTTCAACTATACATCACTGAGAGACGCCATCAACTTCCTGATGGATGAAACCACGCAGGCCGAAACGTTCCTCAACAACCAAGGTCCCGAGCTAGTACAAAACGTAAGTCAAATTCAGTGACCGTAATATACATAAGACAAAAATTGATGTATTATGTTTATATAATTAACTATGGTAGGGTAAGTAATTAGCCACGCAGTTGTACGAATGGGCAGGTCCGTTCGGGTAAGTACCACGACTTTATAGAAGACAGGCGTTAAGTGAAAAGCGTAAAAAAGTCATACGTTTCGCGTGTCCGTCTATGGTATCTATGTGTATGTTTTTGGCATTGTACCATCTAAACAAATGAGCCGATTGTTGTGTTGAAGCTATACTTCTCTTGGCGCGTTTGAAAAAAATAAGAGAGCAAAATTATTACGATGCGGGCACACACCGACCCCCAAAAACTTCATTATGGAGTTGGTTGCATTGAACAAAATATAACAACTTTTTAATTCCAAGATGTTACCGTTATCGATTGCTTTTAATGCCAATTTTATTTTTAGTTATTTTTCTTTGGTTACGCCAAAGAAGTTTAACTTCTTACGTGCGTCCATGAGTACACACTCACACGTAACGAGATGGTTCTTAGCTATAACTTGGAGTGGTTTTTTTTGTGTCCGGGGGTTAGATAAAATTTAGATTTTTTTTTATTAAACTGTCAAAACATTTTTGAACCGTCGCGTCGGCGCGTTCGTCAACGCTTCTCATAAAAGAAGCTATAAGCATCTTTTATGAGAAGTGTACGAGTAGTGTGCGTGCATGAGTCCGCGTACTATTGTCGGTGACGAGGCCACTGGCGGTCCGCAGCTGACGCAGGAGTTCGCAGCGGCGGTGAGCGAGCAGCTGCAGCAGTACGCCAGGCGCGTCCAACTCGCGGCCCGCACCGAGGTGGGCCGCTGCGGGCCGATGTCGCGCGCCTTCAACGCCACGCGCGACGCCGCCTGCAGGGCCTTCCTGCTGCCCGTGGTCAGTGCGCAGGGGTGCCCCCGTGGGGGCCGCATTCGGGCGAAGTGTGGTCACCTGCGACAGCCAGGGACGCCACCGTCTGGGTCGCAAAAAATTTAAAGTGCATCGAGGATAGTAAGCGAGGGTCGCGTTAGTTCTTAAGGAACGTGAGCAAGCCGTTTTCCGTGGTCGGCTTCAATAGCCAGTGGCGCCACCGCGTGGGACGCAAAAATTTAAAAATGCGCCAAGGATAGGAGTTGATCTGATAGCTGACTTTTGGTAACGGCTATTGGTAACGACTTACGTGATCCTAGTCCTACTGTTTCACCTGCACAGAAAATGCTGGAATTTCTCACTACACCTAACTGCGTAAAGTGGTCGATCAATCAATATAAAGATCATGAGGTATTAAGCGTTTATATAATAAATATATCAGACGTTTATAGCTGTTGTGTAATTTTTGAATGTATGAATGGGCAATCGTTGTCAACTGAGGTTAGTAAAGACGACAGAATAAGAATAAGCTATCTAATACCCACTGTACAAGCGTTGCTTAGTTTGGGATTAGAGAACGTTGTGTAAAAATGTGTCATTAAATATAAAATATTTTAACTTTGAAATTGCGACGCAACATTTTTCGCTGTTGCATGAATGGTAGACCACACCCGTGGGTTCTGGCTCACCTCATGGAATGCCATGACCTCATAGCTTGACACCTTCTCACATTGAAAAACCTGTGGTTTCCTCTCAAAAACACGGGATCTGTTGGGGCCCCTCCCGAATGCACCATCACCATGTTGCAGAACGGCTACTGGATCTCGCTGGCGTGGTGCGCCGTGCTGTTCGTGCCGATGCTGCTGGTGGCGCAGCGGCTGGCCAGGCTCTACCGCCACGCGGACCCCTACCCCGGCCCGCTCGTCGAGGCGTGAGTGCCCCCTCTCCCTCTCCCCCACCGCACCCACCTGCCACCACTGCCACCACCGCCACCACCGGGCTGACATTCACACATACTCTGAAGCTTGAACTGAACTTGTCAATTAATCATGTCTGATTATGCCAATTGGAATCTCATAGTGCTGCTGTTAAATATATTCAAACACACAGCTCGTCTGTATTGAAATATCACGTAAGAGTTAAACACAAGTCAAACACAAATAAGACTTCCACCATAGATAATAAATACATAATTAGACAGAATAAAATAAAGTAGCAACTGATTATAAATTATATTAAGTCCCACTGCTGGACTTAGTTCTGTGCTCAAGTTGAAATTGGTTAATATATAGTTCGAAAACTAAGAACATTAATTCTCCCCATAATTTTATTTTAATAGTGTTTCATAAGCACACTTGTACTGATCGATTGAAATTCAAATCAACAGACATACAAACAGACACACTTACCAATATGACTACGGTTAATTTAAACATAACAACCATTCCCATTAACATGTTAATCCATAAACATTCCTTTATCTATTAACATAATTGATAAGTTAGTGATGTATCGGTGCAAATTATTGAATGAACAAAGAAAAAAAAAAAACAAATTAAAGCATTGCACAATACAACACTTTCATGAACATTTTTGCTCTGTTACTAACAAAGGGTTTCTGATCACTCATTTAACCGTTGGCAGTTAAGGTCGCGTGTGCTACGCACTGTGCTACAAACGTTACGCCGTAGCGTTCGTAGCGTAACTCTATCGTCAAACATAATTTTTGCTTACAAATTATAAAATGTTTAACTTTTCGTAGTATTCTCGATCGATCACAAATTCTGACAACGGTCATATATTTTCTTTGTTTTTCATTTATGATTTTTAACCATATTTTATTTATGTTGAGTTTTGTATTCCTTTTTTTTTTGTTCTATTCTTTATCGGTCATTCCGTTATCCTAATTTTATCGTTTTTTTTGGGTTGTTTTGTATTCCTCGCATCATGTGTCCTAGCCAGTGAGCTTTGATTTGTGCCCTGCATCATAGATGACCTTTACATATTTTTATTCATCCAACCTCAGTAGATGCTACTCAGTGATAAGTGATACACTTTAATTCTTGTTTTCATTGTCTCTTGACAAAATCCCTTTCGATGTGATTACATTTTGTATTGGAGTCAGCATGATAACCCTATTTTGCTATGATAGAATTCGTACCTAAATATACATGTTATGTCATGTGATAGCAGTTAAATCGTTTATTGCTCAATAATATAGAATTTGTTCACAGAAATCGGCCATTAACTGTAAATGGGTTTGACCGACGTTTTTCCAATCTGTGTTCTGTACTGTGATTTTATTCGCCACAGTTCCATTTTTCCATGCAAATAACAAATATTCCCCGACTATATTTTATTTTGACCAGTGACTTATTCTTACATTCAACATTAAGGTCACAACTACTATAACAGATGAGTACGTTTAATAAAGACATTGTATAAAGCCGAATTTGCATGAAGTAATTTCGATAACTTGAGGATAGGCTTAAATAAATAACTTTGCCTGTACAAATTAAAATTTTTCGTAGATTTCGTAGACGTAGTAGTTCCCCGTAGCCATACAGAAAGTTATTTTGAAGCATGCCTCCTGCATATCCTTTTGCGTAATTATTGATATTATATTATTACATATTATTTATCATAAGGTAAAGTCAATATTTTCAAAAATTAATTGATCAAAATTACAAACATTTCTCTATGAAATTTCAAGAGGCTGGTGCTTGATGATTTATAGTTTATTATCAAATACAAAATGTGGAACTTATTTCGGTTGTTGTATGTAAGGCTTTGATCTGAGACTATTTTATTGCGTTTTTTTTTTAATTTTTATGTCGATTGTCTGATTTACATCGTATTTTTCTGTTCCCAACTTTATAAACAAATTTTGGGAACTGTTGGTAAATCAATTGTTATATTCATAAGAGCTTGAAACAAAGTGTAAAGAGAATTAATTTAAACTAATTAAACGTTATCATGTATCGCCTAACAACAAAGTGATATTATTTACTCGCGTTTTCAGGAAGTCACTGTCAAAATTTAAATCGATCTTTTTGTTAATGTTGCATATTTGTTATTATTTAATTTTGCACTATAAAATCATTTATAAAAGAAATTTAACAAAGTCATATGAAATATTTCCGTTTTCGTATATGGCAGAAAACATAGCAGTCGTTCATAATAGTGGCTTTGCTACACGCGGGGATTTGGCTAGAAGAAATATTCTGTATACATACCCGCTTAATGCAATAGAAAATAACACTATATTAAGCAATAGCTGATCTACAACAAAATTATAGTCGTTGACGTAACCTGTTGGTTAGGACAGTTACTGTCGGTCAATGGAAATGTTTGACCTATGGGTCATTGAAAGGAATTGGCTAATTTCACTTCAAATCAATAATCGTGTAAGTTTTGTAAGCCCAATTTTCAAAAGGTTGTCAACGCATCTCGAACCCTCGGGTGTAGTAGATGTTCATGTGCGGCGGTATTCACTTAAAATCAGGTGAACCGTCTTCTCGCTTGGCAACTTTTCACATAAAAATAAGATTATTTAAGTCGCTTATTTCCATTGGCCGACCTTACGCGTCAGTAATCCGTTGAATCTAATGTAACAGTAGATCTGTTGTATATCAGAATCTGTTGTATCAGTAGATTAGTAGCCTGCACTCCCGTGATTGGTTTTGTTTTGTGATTTAATTTTTCGTGTGTTCCTTTCCTTATTCTCATCGTCATCCATTACGGCGCTGACTGAAGATTTTCCCATTGACCTCAATCGTTTCACATTTGATCTCATCGATAGCATATCGCAACTTTTGTTTCGTAATGCGTTGTGTTGGTTGTCCCATCTTTCGTGATAATTATAAGGTTCCTTTCCAACTAACGATAGAAGTTTTAAATTTATTCGTATTTATGATGTCCCCTTTTTAATAACTTTTAACATTTCTCTATAACATGTTTATTGATATACTGATACCATAATATCACGTTCTCATATTTGTTGTGTTCTTTGAATTCCGTACTGCATACCTGTTTTCACTGATTTTCAAATGGTGCGATAATAACTATCGATCCTAAATCGATTATGCACGTCAGTTGTCTCCGAAGTGATTGGGATGTTTTCGGGTGAACACGGGTGTGTTAGTGCGTGGGGGTGACACCGTCCTGTATGGGGGTGAGCCGGCGCCCCCTTCCGAGGTTGTGGGGCGCCCCCTTTCGAGGCTGTGGGCGCTCCCTTTCGAGGCTGTGGGGCGTCGCCTTCCGAGGCAATGGGACGCCCCCAACAGAGGCGGTGGGGCGCCCCCTTTCGAGACGCCCCGTCCCTGAAACGTGCGTGTGTTGTCTGTTGCAGCGAGTATTTGTATGACGCGTACGCTGACCGCGATAACGTACCCCTCGCCAAGTAAGTGCCGCCGCGAACACACACAACGCTTGCGCTTGCCGCCCGGAGCCTGTGCGCGCGATTCGAAACTTACCGCCGCACTGTACACTTCCGAGAACACAGTTTGAACACAAGATTTCAACGGTGTAATGTTTGGGTGCGTTGACCGCGTTCTGGTGCGTTTCGAATCGGGCGCCATCTTGTGACGGGCGTGCGAATTAGTGCTCGTAGTGACTGTAGAATAAAGGCCCATTTACACGATGCCATTTTCTTGTACATGCAAGAGCAATAATTGAATGCAATAAATTGCGCGCAGTAATTGGTTAGACCATTTGTTGTTTAGACCATGAAACTTATTTATTGCTTCAATTTAATTGTATACAACAGGCAAGAAACTGGCACCGTGTAAATGGGCCTTAAGGCAGTGAGTGCATGGAACTAGTGGACCATAGCGGCAAGCGCACTGGTGAGGGGATAATTTTATCCTATTTGTCTGTCTCTAACGATTCACCATTTCTTCCGTGTAACGCCGCTGGGCCATGGTAGTGGATAATGTTTACCTAGATGTATTTTACTAGGCGTCCGACGTTTAACATGTTATATATAATGTAATTGTACTCACTAAATAATGTAAAAGCATGCCTATCTGTATATTGCATGAATGTAAAAATATGTAATTGTAAATTTGGCAATTTGGCACGAGGACCTCTAATTTTTTAACCTTGCCCTATGTTCTGTTTAGTCTTTGTCTTTTATTTTAGTTGTTTATTTTTATTTAATTCTTAGGGATCAATGTGTATTGTTTGTCGGCTTTGTATTTGAGAAGTTTGATAAAATTAACGTTATAATTTTCGATTTCTCAAATCGGGGCCGATGTTACTACTGACTGATGTCAGTTATAATTAAATTAAACGAGAGTTAAATGCTGGTTTGAGCAGTCAGAGTTTTGTTATTGTTTTGTTAATTTACACACGATGGTACTTTAAAAACGATGACGTGTGATAAGTATGTATGTAGCGTGTGGCATTATTTTAGACAGTTTTTTTAATTGAACTATATTTTTCCTCCGCAGCCAGTTCATTCTGATGTTTGATATAAGCCGATAACTAATATAGTATTGTCATTTATTTGTTTCAATAACCTTATGCCCAATTGAACGTGATCAGATAATTTCCATGCACCTATTGAATAATATAAAATTGGTTCATAATAAATATATCAGATCGTTTACGACCGACGATTACTTTACAGTCCAGTCTGCGATGAAAACTCTTTTATATAATAGCGGTATTGTCATTACTTGGTATACAGAAATACTCATCACCGTCATCGCCGCAATAAATCTTCAAGGTCGTCGGGGTCGTGCGGGTTGTAATAAATACAAATACTAAAGATCCGTTGCTCAAACCGTTCGAAACACACTCACCGCGCGACCCAGTGCGGACAACCTTGAGCGTTTCGTGTCGCGCGTCACGTGGCGTGTCGCATGATGTGACGTGACGTGACGTGACGCGTGACACGCGACGTGACGCGCTCGGGGTGCGGGCAGCGGGTCCAAGCGCAGCACGCTCGACATCGAGGGCAAGATCGCCGAGTGGCGCGAGCGGAGCGCGGCCGGCGGGGGCGCTGGGGTGGTGGGCGTGGGGCCAGGGGCGGGGGCGGGGCAGGGGGCGGGGGCGGGCACCGCGCTGCTGCTCGAGGGGCGCGAGGTGGTGTGCGCCCTGCTGCCGCCGCCCGCCCTCATCGACGACCTCAAGACCCGCCTCGACGCCAAGGACGAGGACAACGAGTCGGGCATCCACGAGTCCGAGTGAAGCGTACCGACGCCGCGCAAACCGAGCTAGGGTTGTCGAAAAATATCGTATATTGATATTTTTAATTTGTATATATCGATATTTTTAAGATTTCTGTGCGAGATATCGATATATCGATACAAAATGTTCAATATCGTAAATTGTATTCGATTAACGTCGAAAAGAGTTTAGAACCTACATATCTTTTAACCTACATTTCTTCGATATATCGAGGCCGGTGTAGCTATTTGCATAAATATCGATATATTGATATATTTCTTCACTTTCAACATCCCTAGACGAAGCGGCCGCGACTGTGCTTCAATTTTTTCAGCAGTTCTATTATTGGGTCCACCGTCTTTCGCTATTTTGTGGGATCGACGAAACGGATAGCGTCTGATGTCTCTTTCTAACGTGATTTCGTTATGAACTCAATTATTGGATACTAGAAGATTAGTGTGTGGAATACTGATTGGTTACATATCCTCGACGAATGCCAAAGGCAGAGTGCTGTTTCGGTTTTATATCCATATTGAATGTTGAAGCATATCGCTTTTGATACAATGGCGTTACAAACGCCATTGTATCAAAAGCGATATTAATGAATCAACTTGTTGTAATTAAACGTAAAAAGTATTTTCATTATTAGGTTCCCTCGACTATCTTTTATTCATGATTTGGACATTGAATTTTAAACTTTGTGACTGAAGCCTGCCCAATGTCAAATGTTTGTTAATATTTAGAAATAGTCGAAATTAAAATTGGTGAAAAGTTGCCGTATGTTGTCTTCCTCTTTCTTAAAGTTATCTGTACGGTTAGGAAAAATCATTATTACTTTAACTAATCAAGGACTTTTTTGTACTAATGTTGTAATGTTATTGAATAATAATACTGCTATGCTTCTGAAGTCACCGCGAAACGTCCACTGTATACAAGTCCCAGCTTTCGTCTCGAACTTTGCGACAAACATTGGCCCAATATTATGGTCCAATGTTTGCCAAATAGCTCACACGAAACTTAACACTATTACGCAACGCTTGTACAACTTGTGAATTTAACCAAAATTATTTTAATACTGTAGCGATAGACGTATACATGACGTATACAAAGTAGTAGTGATTTGGAACAATTTTACCGCATAGTTTTGATACGAGTAGTGTTTATTGTATTATCGATATTTTTAAACATATACAAGTATTAGGGACTGCTTACTGGTTACACACAAATTTTAGTATTATCATATTGAACATTTTTGACTCGCTTTTTATATAATAATATACATGTCCGTATTTAAGTTAGTACGTAAATGTATTCCGCGGAACCATGTTAGGAGTGTGTTGTGAGGCAATCAGTAGTAACTAATATGAAATGTTTATTCCAAAATAATTGCTGTCAGAGTTTCTATCTATGACTATGTGGCTCAATAGGTTTATTAAACTATACTTTAAATCTATTTATTTGTGTTAAGTTTTTCAAAATATATCAAAGAATGTCGTTTAAACGGCATTTGTATTTAATAGTGTTTTGGTTAATTTTTAATCTGTTATAAAAACTGACAGCAATTTGTGTGTAAGGTTTATTAATGTCATAATATTATGAATAATGGATTGATACCAGTGGATTTGTTATAGGAATATTACAATGTAATAAATAGAATTGCACTGCAGTGAATTGATGTAGTTTTTCGATGTATATTGCATGTCTTGACAATTTTTATCGATGTACTTTGTTTAAATGTACGCCCGCGATGATATTTTTAATGGAAGATTATTACAGAATGGACTTCGTATATGGGCGAGAGAGACGGTTGATTTGCTACTTAAGTGCCGTCATCCCACAAAACGTCTTGGAGACGTGTTTTTTGGTAATATCATCGTGCGGCCATTTTAGTGAATAAGCTGGTGTTATGTATGTATACCGTCGTTTGTATTCGTGGTCCATTTCGATGATTTTTTTTTAATTATACTTAAATAATAAGTTAGCATTTAGATTGGATAAGGCCACGCCGTAACGCGTTGAAGTGTAACTTGGATACGCCCAGTTTTAAGTAATTGTGACTAACGATAGACTACGTTTTCGTATTGTTATTAAATTAGGTTAAGTTTAGCGTTAAGACAAGTGTGAGGGACTTCTTGGGCCCTCGAGCTCAGTACGTCGAGGCGCGGCGGGAGATAACGCCCGGTCACCATCGGTAACTAACAGACTTTTATCATTCGCTTGCCCATCTCTTTGGTTTCGCTCGGCATGGCTGTAGTTCTTTAGTTTGGTCCACTTTCGACTTAGGACGTTTCGCTTGTGAACGTTTTTCTCCCCATTTGCGTTAAGGCCTCTTTTTGGTTTTATTGTTTCTTGACTTTCGGTTTCATTGCGTAGGTTGTGTTGCTTCTTCTTTTGTAACCTTTGGAGTTCTCGGTACCGCTAGCGCCGCATGTTATAGGCTGTTGTTAACTGTTTTTTTTTATGTATATCGTTATTTTTACGATCAACGTTCAAACGGAATCGACTCATCACATTTTCAAATATTAACAGCCTGAAGCGCGTTCCGCTTGGACGTTGCGATTAAATACGAAGTGGAAACCCACAGGCACCGTCACCAGCGACGTTAAGCGACCCGACTGTCATGCTATGAAGTAGCAAAATCTCTATCACTCAAATAATCAAGCCTATATAATAATTATAACACGAATGAGATCTAAAATTTAAAATTGATCGATCCAAAAACGATTATGAGCCTGAACGAGTTGGGCGAATCGATTAGAATTGCGATAGAATCAAGAATCATTGGATTTTTCGATCCAAAAGGGCCATAGAACTAAAGCTCCTGGCGATCGCTTCGGTCAATTGAGATGGAACCAGCGAGATAGTTAGATACCACGGCTAAGCTATAACCCGAATGGAGGCTGTCGAGACGGTCGGCGAGCGCGGTCGCTGGTGCCGGTGTGGTGGGAACCGCGCTCCCGTCCGCCTGAGTGTGAGGTCTTGCAGCGCATACAAGGCGGAGAAGCGCGCGGGGCGGGGGCGGGGCGGGGCGGGCGGCGCGGGGGGCGCGGGCGGGGCGGGCGGCGCGCACCCCGAGCCCGCGCCGCCTCTGGCGCCGCCGCTCGAGCCGCACCACGCGCGCCGCTACAACGACATGGCTCCCAAGTGAGTGCACCCGCTGAAACATCGCCCCACGCCAGCCCCAGCTAGCCGCAGACGCCCCACATCATGTCCACCTAGCCCGATCCTCTCGTTTCTGCTGTCGCATCACATCGCCCCACCTAGAGCAATTCTCTTGTTTCTGCTCTCATCACATCGACCCCACCTAGTCCTATCCTCTCATTTCTGATATCGCCTCACATGGGCCCCACTTAGCCCAATCCTCTCGTTTCTGCTATAGCACCATATCAGGTCTATCTGACCCGATCATATTGTTTATGCTATCGCCCCATATCATAACTACCTAGCCCAATCTTCGTTGCTGCCATCGCCCCACATCGGCCCCACCTAACCCAATCCTTTCCTTTCTTTTATTGTCCCACGTACCCGATCCTTTCGTTTCTGCTGCCTATCAGTACCAACCCAAGTGCCGGCATACAGTTTTACTTCCTACCAATACAAAAGTAAATTACGTTACATCTGCACACCTCATCTTAACCAACTAAGCAGTGAACATGAAGGTGCTGGTACTTCACTGTGTGGATGGTGAAGTGGTCATCTCATCTATTCCTTTAGGCACCATATCAAACGAGCAATCGACAACTGTTTGTCTACCTTTCCGTACAATTTGTGACAGCAAAGAAAACATCACACGCATGCGCACTCAATTTAGCAATATACAGTGATTCCAGCTGTACGGTCAGTCTATAACTGGTTTATAGCGTTGCTTTGATCACTAAGAAGGCTATGGCGTTACAAATTATATTTACGACAACTTTGTAAAAATCGGACACATTGATCACAATTCTGACTTGTATTTTTTTCATCAATTTTTTTTAATTTTACTCTGATTTGGCATGTTCACGCTGCGAGGTTCTGATCAAGTTACCTACTTAGAAGTACAATTATCAACCCACAACAGCCCAGGGGCATCAGGAAGCTAGATGTATAAAATTTATTCAAAGTTACACTTTAAAAATCACAGATGACCGCTGAATCCTCTGTAACGTGAAAGTCGCCAAATTGCCTCAACTTCTAGTAGTCGAAGAAGTAGAAAGGTACACTTATAACCTTCTAACTGGTACAAGAAGAAATAGAAAGCCATACTTATAACCCAAAATCCGAGTAAATGATATCGCAAAGAGCACAACAACTGAATTCATGATTTGCACTGGTGGCGGTGTTTCAGGCATTGGGAGGAAGGACCTCCGCGCTACCACGGCCCTACTGAGTACGAGCGACCACCACCGTATTACTATCCCGGACCCAAGTGAGTTTTGGACCAGAGTCCACTGCTAACTCAACAAAATGCCCTTCACTAGCGTGTTACATATCCATCGTCACAGTAGACGCTTTGTCTTCACTTACTCTACGTTTCTACTTCTCACTACTTGTGAACATTAACAGAACAAAACTCTTCATCTAAATTAAGAGTAAAGTAACAATCGATACAGAATCTATGTGTCTTGTTCTGAATTGGTTCTGAATTTTGCCCCGATGTGTGTTTCTATAATCTTTACAACTAATACGTGGTAATCGGCAATTAAACTTCGCCAAAGACAACATATTTTGTTTGTACATGTTATAAATAGGTTTTTACTCAAATACATGTTTGCCAATCATGCATACCATCAGATGATCAAGGCATAAAAACGCATTGTCTTTCCAGTGATAGACAGTAAGGTGTCGCTCGACGAACAAGATGACTTGGCGAGATACTAAATGCACTCGCCGACCGCAGAATTACGTACAAAGCACCAGACAATCCTAAAACCGACCTAGCAAGCGATCAGATGCCCTATAGAGTATTTTTTCATAGTAGAACAAGACTATTTAGTAGTTATGAGTTTCACCGTCATGTGTCAATTGTTCATTCATTCGCCCCCAATGTCGCTTCTGCGTGTTTCTTCCATTCGAGTTTGTCAGTGTTACTCGATGTGATATTTTAACGTTCACACTCAATCGAGTTTTAGATGTAATTCATTTAAAATATCTCAATGTTTAATCTATAGACGATAAGAATATATGGTTATTTAACAATGACGAATTAGGTTCGATATATAACGAATGAATGAACAAGGAATTGGTGAACGAAGCGAAATAAAATAAGATAAAGTTTTCTCTGTAAACAAATTTGAAGTATCATGTAAGTTTGTGGTTTTAGCTGATCACAGAAATCTAGATCTAAACGTGATGTCCGTGGCACTGGTATTATTTAGAGTCGTAGTTTTATGTACGAATTCATAATAGGCGAGGTCGTCCCTTTGACGCCTTCTAATCTTATGGAAGGGAATAAATTGCGGTAATATTATCTCGTCATACGTGTCCTTTACTAAAGTTTGTTGTTGCCATTTGTTATTTCTAGAACGTTGCCTCATTAGTTACGCGTTGAGATTTTACCGTCGAAGGTAAAAGAGGGATTAATTGATGTGTAGTTTTTACCGGTTTCAGCCATATTAGAAAGACAAGATCAGCCTTTTTTATTTCCTATCGTTCAAATTGAGAAGTGAATTATCTGCCTAGTGGTTGAAAGGAAATTTTTATTAATAAACGTAATCTATTTTGTAGGATGTAAGTTGCAGACGTCCCATATGACGTGATAGTACATTGGTTCGGCTGGAGTATTGTTATAGTAATTTATGTACGGCTTTTAAGAGCCGACAACTACGATTTGGCTTTAAATATGTTTTTTTTTCTCTAAAGATTGAAATATTTTATAGTAATCGTTGAAATGAGCGCGAGTTTTGGCGCACAAATTTTGTTTCAAAATCTGAAGGAGTTAGTTATTTTGGCTTATTGACTCGGATTTGTACGCAATATGTATAGCACATATAAGTAATATAATGAATGGCAAGTGAGTAGTATAAGCATAGTAAATTGTATTGGTGAAAAGTGGACGTAGCTTTGAGGTAATTGGGTTCATATTGCCTTGGCGGCCTTCACAGAGGGTTCTCTTTACATTATGGTCACGAGCTAATTTGAAAGCGCGTCAGAATAGTATTAGCTAAGGCAATCTGGACCCAAACGCCCTTGCATCACATACATCACGTCTGCGAGATTGTAATGCATTTATATTGTAACGTAATTGATTTTAGAATTAGGCATTATACTGTACCGTGTATTGTAACTCATAGTGTTAAGGGTCGTAGATGTATTGTGTGCGAACACCGAGGCGTTGAGTTTTCTTGCTCTGGGTTTTTTGACTTTGAAATACGACTAGAGGGAGGGGAGGGGGAGGGGCTATGGTTAAGTTGTAATAACTGCCATACGTTAGAAGTAGCATTGTAGCATTGGTTTGGGGAATGCCTTGTCCGTTTGTTCGCCAGATGCAGAGTTCAACGACCTCGGGGTGTTGTATCCTAATTTAGTTTAATGTTGTGATTATACGATATACCGTAGGACGTTCCGTCGCCATCCGTGAGGGGGTAACAGTGCAAATTTTTTTTTTCGTTTATTATATACATTATTATGATTTTTATCGAACGTGTCATATCGTGTTAGTTAGGCCGCCGAGTGCGGGCGGTATGTCGACGCAATGCCAAATAAAATGTTTTCTCTGACGGTGTTCATCTTTCTTAGTGTTACGTGGCCCCTTTTGGTGAATGATATTTAGTGTTTTCGCGCGTCTGCAAATCGGACTCTAATCAGCGGTTATAGGGTGTGTTTTGCGTTGAGCGCGCAAGGGTACAAGTCGATTGTTGGTGCGCGTCTTTGCCCGCTGTCACAAATTAGTTTATGTATGTAATAGCCTCTTTAACTTTATTTATTAGTGTAAACTTTTTAAAGTCACTGTTACTTTCGTGATAGTAACAGTCACTATTATACTGGAAATAGTCAAACGGATTCGTAGACGTCGAACAGCATCAAATCAGTGTTTTTTCCTATTTATTCTTCAAGATGTCTTGTCAACAAGTCTTCAAGAGGTAACTTCGCAAATGACCGATTCTAATATTCAAGTCTCTTGGCACGATTATTTGGTTCGTGTTAAATGCCGACGCACCTATGATCTCTCGTAAGTCTTCCTGCGCCGACCCTCGCCGATTTGAGGGGAATCCCCGCTCACTTTAATTAGGGTCCCAATTTTAATGAATTTATTCCTATGCTCAACTCATTGTATTGTAGTGCGGTGCTACGCGCCGCTCGTCGTAAGCTATTGACACGCCGTCGGATGCCGCGATGGACCACGGCTCGGTGTAATTTTAGCGAGAATTGTATGAGATTTGATGATGACGTCACGTTACGGTGTGATACGCGCCGGACGACTGTGTACGGGCGGCTGGTAGCTGGGCGGAACATTTATCTTTATGTATATCTCCTCGTTGTATCCCAAATATGTCGTATTTGAACTGAAGCGGTCCAACAATGTCTTCACCGCTTCTTTCCTGTCTTCGGTCGACTGATATATTATGTTCAGAAAGCTGTATCATTTTCTCGCGTTCCTTTTTATCCGTTCGCGTGTATCAGTGACGTGTTTGTTGTAATTTGTTACGATTGCTGTTTCCCGGGAAACTTAATCGATCATAAGCCACAGTAAACCGTCGATGTATTACGAAGTTAACGATACGTAAATGACATCCCTCCTTGCACAGCGCTCGCCCGTGCACGAACGACTCGTCCCAAATGATGTCCGTCGAGTTCGAATCTCGCGACAAGCCACCGATGAGCCAACGTAGATACTTTAACTAGCTTCGAACTTGACAACAACTTATATAATACTTAACAACAATTTATGTAATACAGTTCTGATGTTGGCCAGTCGCCTGAGCGTACTCGCTCGGACAAGTTAGTTTTTAAGTTTGTATTACGACTAATTGGCCGGCCGTGCGTTACGCAGACCGGCGTTGTATCGGATCTTAAGATGATTATTATATTTGATTATCTCCATTGTGCGTTTTATTTCTCACCCGTAATAAAAATGCAATAATCCCCCTACCACCTCTCATACTCGTAAAGACCGGCAGAGATCTATCTACAGTTTCAAATTTCACAGTCACGTCACACCAGATTTTGCTGGTTAATTATTAATCTCATTATAACATACATTTAGTTTACAATAAGCAGTGTAGAGTTAACAATGGTTAGGGTCACGCAACAATGTTCCCTGTTGCAAAAATGGGCAGGTTCGTCTGGGGAAGTACTACGAACTGGCTGAAGATCGGCGTGAAGTGGAAGTGTTGCACTACTTCTGGTGAGGTTACAATGCCTCTGCATCTCTATGGGTGTCCCTATAGGAGGTGGTAATCAATTAACGTCAGTTGAACCGCCAGGTCGCTTACCACCTTCTCACATAAACAAACACGTGACACGGAAAATGAATGAAGTTGATCATTGTCATGGGCAATGTTGTTAGTCATGGACATTGAAGAATTTTTCGGGGTACGTCCCGTGTAGTAATCAAAGCTGACCTTCAACGCCAAAACTTATGGCCCCGTAAACGCCTCATTTGAATCAATGTAGTTGCTGGACGAAATTTCAAGTGTCTGTCTGTGTATCTGGGTGTCTGTCTTAGGCACTGTATGGCATCAATGAACATTGAAGAATTTTTCGGGGTACGTCCCGTGTAGTAATCAAAGCTGACCTTCAACGCCAAAACTTATGGCCCAGTAAACGCCTCATTTGAATCAATGTAGTTGGTGGACGAAATTTCAAGTGTCTGTCTGTGTATCTGGGTGTCTGTCTTAGGCACTGTATGGCATCAAAACGAACGGATCGATTATGGTGCGTTCTTTTTGCTTGAAAGCTGACGTGATCGAGATGTTTCTCAGCTATAATATGAGCTATATTTTGTGCCAGAGTGACTCAAAATTTATAATTTTACACTTTTTCATATTTACTTCGATCCTCAACTGGGCTAATGGAAGAGAGTATAAATAAGTTGTGGTAGATATATGGCGTCTTTAGACCAGAAGAGTTCCAGTGTTTATAGATCAGTCAATTGGTACAGATTCGAAATTTTAGATGTTGTTAGAAAAAAAAGCTGACCTACTTAATTCACATATTGTGTACATTCTAACACTAAAAACTCATTACAGTTACAACACTACCTTATAATAGTGAAGCTATTTTAACTAGAAAGATGTTCAAAAATCTGTATACACCTATATTACAAATGCACCATAAAATTACGTTATAATTTACATAAAAATTTGTTCGATAAAATCAAAAAAAATGTTCCCATTTTCTTATTATATTGGGTATATTTTATACTTGAATTTAAATTGGCCCTCTGTATTATAACTGACCTTTGTTGAAGTAGTCATCTTAATCGTTGAAAATGTTACGTTCAAAAATAAAATCTCCAATCATTAAATCGATTTATTGAAACGAAATTTCTCACTTTCAGTCCACTCACTTGGTACTTAAGTCTACTTAACGATAGATATTGTTACTTAGTGCGAAGTATAAATATAATACATGTGTACATCACTAAAACTAAACAATACTGTCTATCGGTCGCTAATAATGTCGACCGTCTCGTCAATATACAAAGAAACTAGAGGCATTGGGCTACCCTTAGAGTACAACGATTGATTAACGCTCGCCCAGTCTGGGTGGAGCTCCCAAGTAAGAACTGGACTTTGCCAGTTAATATTGGGTGCGGTGACCACGTAGCTTGGTCGCCGCCGACCATTTGCATTGGAGATCTCTTTACATCATTCCTGCGCTATTTTGAACCGCACTCTGTAAAATATAGAACATAATATCATCGCCCATACAGTTATGTCGTAGAATCATTTACTTTTAAACGGTTACCAGAGGTTCTATTGTCTGAACACGATGCGTACTTTCCTGAATATTGTCGGATATGAATTGTACATTGCGACATATTGTTGGAAATTACAGATGTTAAGAACAAAATTAGGGACCAGTATCGGATTTAATAGTGAAGGAGAAATTTACTGACTGAAAATTTTATGTAAGTTTACTGTAATGGGACTGTAAGTTTACTGTATGTACGAATTGCGCTTGCAGACGAATGGGAAGAGGATAATAGAGTAGTTATAACAAAACTAATGCAGTATGATGGTTAAGATATTCATATGCATTTATATGCAATTTCATATCAGATGATAACATTGTCAATCTTGGAATTTATTCTGAACCGTACATAGGTAGTCGTATAGTGGCCCATTTTTTTCCAACATTTTAAATGATAATAAACAAGGCTATTACTCTTCTCTTCCATATTTCTCTGCCTATTATTCTAAGTGCGTTCCCATGATCACTGAGAAGGAATGACGCGAGCATAGCGCTGAATTACCAGGGCGGCATACGCGGGGGTTAGCAGGGCAGCGGCTGCTTGGCCCTTCGCTGCGCTTCTAATAGCAGCCTGTCCAGCTCGGCGCGGCAGGAGCAGTGCAGAAACTCGCGAGGCCGTACACCACGGAACACCTCAGCGATGGAGGGCTTCACGTTGTAGAAGATGATCGTCTGGCCGCGCGCGTGGAAGTCCTCGATCAGGGACTTTATGCCCTGGACAAAGGCCGATTGGCGAGCTTGGTTATGCAAACAGAGAAACTCCGCGGCGCAGTTGCCAAGTTATTGGCTTCGGCGTCGGGGGTCGTGGGTTCGATTCCCACACGGGACAACTATTTGTGCGACCCACAGATAGTTGTTTCGCATCTGGGTGTATGTCCTCGTGTAATTTATGTTTGTAAAACGTCCTTACAACACAGGATAATGTTATCCTAAAGTGGGGGCAATGTTTTTTTTTTTTAAAAAAAAAAAAAAAAAAAAAGAAACCCAGTCCCGAGCGACCTAATAATAGTATTTCAGTGCACTTGGACCGGTTTCGGCATTCAATGTTTGGTTTTCTGGTTACTAAGTATTTATACCCAAAAGTACGAATAGTTGTTATAGACAACGCTCTTATAATATGACGTGTTTTTTCCCTGGGCGAGTAGAATCCATTAGCGACTTAATTCGTCCACATTACAGCGAGAGAATAGTTTTCCCGGTAAAAGAGAAAAGTCAACAAGAACAGTTGTTACACCGCACGCGTTAGTCTATTAACCGGCCACTCCCTTTTTATTCAATATACTCTAGCAACTGTGTACAAAGTAGGCCCAACAGTGATATATACTTATATAAGCTTTGTTACTTTACTTTTACACGTGACAGGCTTTCTTCCGTTAAACTAGCCATCACTAATATTCCGAATTTTAGCCAAGATTCTAAAATCATTCAAGTACTTTATACATCAATACATCCAAAACCTAAATGTAAAAAGTACTATTGACGGCCGATTTCGCAACTACAGACAGTGTAAGCGCAAACAGAGATTCTTTAATAGTGCAAACTAAGAATGAGAATTTTGTTAAAGACAAAAGAGTAGATCCATTATAACAACAGTGAATACGTAAGTGATAATTAACGTTACGATAGTGTCAAGAGTAATTGAGTGACAGGTTCGTTGGTGACAAAGCTGTCGCGTGCGCGCGTGTTGTCCGCTTACCTTGGCGGCGGTGAAGTCGGCGGCCTGCACGTGCGACGCGTCCAGCACTAGTGGCGCCCTCGCGTCCCTTTCGGCCGCCTTGCGCACTGCCCGCCTCACGAACTCCGCCGACGGGAAGGCGAGCGCGCGGTCCACAGTCGCCACAACGTGCGGCACCCCGTCGCTTGACTGACCACCGCACGGAGCTTTTATTAAAATCCACTCGGACAATAGCCACCGACCGAGCCGAGGTCCGGCCCTCTCGGGCACCCTCGGATCGGAATGCTAAACGCGTGTTGAGTGACAGCCCAAGCCGAGCTCCCCTCTCGGGGACCCTTGAGCCTGGTCACTCCATGGAGCGTCCGCCAAAGCGCCCTAGGAGCTTGGCGGCCTCCCAAACCGGTGATAATAATAGCGTGACGGCCCGAGCCGAGGCTCCCTCGGGAACCCTCTAGCTTAGTCACCATAACGCGTAATAATAATACGCCGAGGCTCGTCAAGCTCAAAAAAAATTGCAAAAACTTTTTTGCAGCTCCGAGCATTTTGTGACACGCTTAGGACTAATTCATGAAGGACTTAGACATTGGTCAGACCATACTCATGTTTTTAGTCGTCTAATGAAGTCAAGAAATAAAAATTAAATGTCACGCCTTCTGACAGATTTTAAATAAAAAAAATTATATTCACAAGTTGAGCCGCATACTAATTTCAACTATTCGAATCGAAGTACACTATCATCGTCGGCTCGTTGTCAAGTAGAACAAATTTATTTACCGATCTATTATTCTATTATCTTCTTATATCCGCGTTAAAATTCACAAAGCATGTTATGCACAGAAATTGATGGATTTTAAAATTTGGGGAAAAAGTACGAAAAGACTGTCGCCGCTGTGGGAATCGAACCCACGTTTTCGGCATTCGCGGCCTGACGCTTTAGCTACTAAGCTAAACGGCATCAGCCGACGAAAATCTTAACGTCTTAATACTTGGCGCATCCATTGCTATATCCTTTCCAGCATACACAAACAATTTCGAATATCGTTTTACAACGATAATGCGAACGAGAGATGACGCCATTGCTTTGTTAGAAATTAAAATTTTTTACAGTGCTAATCTCTGCACTTAAGATTAAACATTAAAATTTTGTAGAAAGAAGTCGTAGAGATAGGGTTTCATTCCCACAGCGGCGACAATCTTTTCGGACTTTTTCTACAAATTTTAATGTTTAAAGTGCAGAGATTAGCACTATAAAAATTTTTAAATCGATGGATTGCTTAACCACACGATGGGGCAGTAGTCAAGCACCTGTCATTTATTGATGAAATAAATGACCTGACGATAAGTATACTCACAACAGCGCTGGTGACGCGTACTGAGGGCCTCGCAGATGCATACAATAGGAATAGAAGGTTGACGGCAATGCCTATGACGATGCCCAACTCCAGCCGCGTTAGGAGGCACGCCGCGAAGGTCACCACCGCCGGAATTATATCCAGCTCTGGAATGACACGGTATGACGTAACTTAAGCAGTTGCCTTTCTTAACCATAAACTAATTGAACTTCCTAATATATCATAATCGAACTTTGACCTAAGGTTATGATTGCAAAAGTATGTGGCTAATTCAAAAGTACTACTAATACGTATGCAGGGTCTACCTATAAAATATTTTCTTAATTAAAAAGGTCAATCAGTAAATCAAGTTTAGATATAAGATGCAATAATTTAAAAAAACAGTGCCTCTAGGAATAGTGTGCTGTCTCTTAGGAGGAAAAAGTGATTGAAAACATATACATTTTGTAAACACTGGTATCTATTGTTGCGAACTTTAACTTTTGACACTGTAACAGTTAAGTTATATGTTTTAATACAAGCCCGCCAAGATTTTACCTTGACAGATTACAAATAATCGACGAAAAAGAAGTATCCTTACGGTCTGGAAAACGGTAATCTTAATACACGCCACATGGATTCTAAGCATTGACCTCACAATAGAGGATCTGTTACTACCACTGAGATTTGTGATTTCAATTCCTACAATGTTTTGACTGTTCTGTGTTCAAGTTTCCTTTTACGACCATCTTTCGATATCACACACTACAAGGTGATCGTGATTGTGGAAGGCGAGATCAATAGAATAATGCCAGATTATTTTATTTATTTCTTTGTCCTGACTGGTTTAATGTCTGTGTTAGGCTTTAAGCAATTTAGTTGACTTCTCTACTTACTCTTAGTCCTCCATATGGGCTTGAAGACGTGCAGTTCCATCATGAACACAACTGCCGCTATAATCACCGCCGCGAGCGACGCTTTCGGGATGTAGAAAAAGTACGGCGTGAAGTACTGGAAAGGAAAACTTGCGTGATAATATCTTCTCTAAAGACGCTTTACATGAGAAGGTTTTTACGAGTTAACATCCTTTATACACAAATCTATGATTCTTTTCAATCCAATGCACGCTACGTGCTGCAACGTTTAAGTCCGATCTTTTTATTTTTAACTTTAGCTAATACATTTTTAGTTCATTTTTTAAAACATTGCCCTTACTTAATATTATCCTGCGTTATAAGGCAATGCACCTTGTTAATTTTACGGTTGGCCAGTTTGCGGCAAAATAGTTGGCCAATTCTCTTGATGAATTACCGATGTGAAGGTCTTTTACAGAGTACAGTCACAAGGAAGTGGATTAAGGGCAACGTGACGTGACGATTTCTCACCACGCCCCGGGTTGGCTGGGAGAGAATGCCAAAAGGCATTAAGTTCAACCTTTGTAATCCTTTTTATTTAAAGGTTGCAATAAAGTATAAATAAATGGTAAATCCACGATAGCAGCCTAGGCTGTTGCACTAATGGGCAGGCTCGTCCGTTTTAGTACCGCGACCTCACAGAAGACCGGCGTGAAGTGGAAGCATAATACTTTCGCGTTACGTCTGGTGAGTGAGGTGGCCGGAGCCCAATTTCCGATAGGTTGTCAACGCATCTGGAACCCTCGGGTGCAGTAGATGTCCATGGGCGGCGGTATCTTATCGGTACTTAATATCAGATGAACCGTCTGCTCGCTTGGCAACTTTTCTCATTAAATGAAAAGTAAATACATAAATAAATAAATAAAATGATGTGGTGGAGCTACCTGTAGTGCAAGCAGCACCAGCGCGCCGGTGTAGAGTCCTCCAGCGGGTGTCGCGACCCCAGAGGCGTGGTTGACCGCGCCCCGCGAGAGGGCGCCCGAAACCGGCATCGACTCGACCAGCGCGGACGCTATGTTGCAAACGCCCAGCGCGAGCATCTCCTGCGTCGCGTCCACGTACTTTCCCTCCGCTGGCAACATAAAAGTTAAAAAGTAAAGTTACAGCCTATACATGTCCCACTGCCCAAAGGCCTCCTCTGTGCAGAGGTGTCCCAGTGTTGGGCAAAAGTATCTGTGCTGACGGTGTTAGGGCATAGTCCAGCACGCGGCCCAACTGCGGATTGGCTGACTTCACGTATATCTTCGAATTTTTTTTCTGTTATTATTCCGAAAATATGCAGGTTTCCTCACGATGTTTTCCTTCACCGCTGAGCACTGATAAGTCAGCACTTAAAATTAACAATTTCATTGGTACCGGCACATAACGTACTACATTACATTACATACGCTCCACATTACATACTTTATTTATTTCTCCTTTAATGTCTTTTCGTTTTTTGCGAGAAGAATCATCTTTACTCATTCATTAGCTATGATGATACTCACAGAAGACTTTGGCCAGAGCGATATTTTCGAGAATGGAGAGCAGTGGCACAACAAATATGGCGGATCCGAGGGTGGAAGCCATCTCCATGAAGGTGTACGTGTGGTTGCCAACCGTTGCCGAGAATGGTGGCGGTGATAACTGTGGGAGACCGGGCTTAACCTCGCCTGAAAACGTAAAAGAAATGGGTTATTTTGAGTGTATGATCATTTTATGTCTCACACGTGCGATATGTATGAACAGGTTTCAAGAAAGAGTTTACTTAGCGATTTCATATGTAGTTTATTTTTAGTAACTGGAACATTCTTTATTACATCTGGTTCTAGCGCTCATGATCTTCGCACATCCTAGAAACTGCTCAAAACCCAGTAGTCTAGATTAGGAGTATTTAATTTTTTTGTGCTTACAATTTTCTTTTGTCACCGGAAACTATACAGACCCAAATGGCTCAGAAATCTCTCAAGATCTACAGTTTAATCGCCATTAATATAATTTGATTAAAACCTGGAACTCTAGTATCACTGTTTCAGTATCGATAGGCCGACAGTGAGACGGAAGTAAGCGTACTTTTGCGTTTGGCCGTGAATCGTGAGTAAGTAATTGGAAGTCTCCAAAGCCGGGAACCCACCTTCAGACTTACTGGTTTTAGATGCCCAGAGGTTTGGGTGACCACCTCAATCTGGCTATACTCACCCGTTAGCACGAATGGAGTCTGCTTCTTGGTGTCGAAGTAGTACGCTAGCGCGGCGCACACCAGCACCACCAGGATGTTCCTGGTGGTGGAGAGGAACCAGAGAGATTGGGCGAGGGCCACCCTGAGTCTGCTGCCGTCAGGTCTCGGCTCCGGGTCCTGCCCATCGGGCCCCTCCGCTGGACCCACTTTAATGTCCTTCACTTTCTGAAAGAGCAATAAAATTTCCAAGCTTTTGCGTTATTATCCGTTAGAGATAGCTCCACATATCTCGTCGAATAATGCTGTTTACCACGCATAGACGCTTACAGAGGTTGTGAAGAGGTTATAAGTACAATCCGTTGTATCTAATTTCATTTTATTTATTTGCTAAAAAAGGGAGAGTCCGGCACTACAAACCGTCACAGTTACTTATTTCGCCGCATTGAAGTGCCATAATTTTACGAACACAAATTACAAAAAAGTGATGGTTATTTAGTTAGAATTAATGTTAAATAAATGCACTAAGAAAATAAATAAGTAACGTCAAACCAGGATAATAATGAACCTCATTATTTTCAGTAATAACATTATTAATTATTTTCAATTAACTACACAGCCAAAATAAACATTAATATATGTATTTGGAACATTAATAGAGAACAGTGCTTAACAAATATTAATAACAGTGATCGTAACGTAAACAATACTGATTTACACACCTTATTTTCTTAATTAATATCTAGAAGCGTTACTATTATATGAATTACCATAATATTAAACGCGACTTCCTTCATGTCGTTAGAATATCAGTTAGTTGCAGGAAATCGCGAACAAATACATGTAATTCATGGCGTCGATTATAAGTTACGGCCGTTATTATCATTGCTTCGCCATAACTTTATATTATAAACTTGCTTACAAAGTTGGTTCCCATTTAAAAAAAAGTATGTGTGTACGCATTATGTACGCACGTAAGAAGTTATACTTCTTCAGCGTAAAGACATTAAATGCAATTCATAACGGTTTGTTTAAATAACTTGAATTTATTGGGTAAATGTCAAAAAGTTTTTGTCGGTTGCCAAGATTAAATTGGTTACCATCATGTCATCACATCACGTCCTAAAAATATCACTCTCATAATTTTTCCAAAGGCGCCAAAAGAAGTATAATTTAAAAAAACCGAAAAAACAAAAGCCACAATGACCTTATAATCGGTATACTGACGTAATTCTTACTGAACTTCCTTTGGTCGTACCGAATCTAGTACCCAAATCCGCTGTGATTAGTATGGAGTGCCTACCCTCAAGAGAAGCAGCACCACGATGCAGGAGATTCCAAGCACCGTATCCCACAGCCTCGTCTCGCCAATATGCTCGTAAAGGCCGGTCCACACCTGGTACGAATAAATTTGTTTTTAGGTGTTAAAGGTGTTCCCACAATTTACTAGTTCTTCTTACAATATTTTGATTCTGTGGTAGGACCACGCTGCAGTCTTCGCTGTTGCAAGAATGGGCAGGGCCGTCTGGGGAAGTACCAGGGCGGCACAGAAGACCGGCTTGAAGTGTGTTATTACTTCTGCGTTTTGTCTGGTGTGTGAACTAGTCCCGGTTTATTAAAAGGTCAACGCATCTGAAACTCTAAGGGTGTTGCAAATGTCCATGGGTGGATATAACTTAACATCAGGTGAACCATCATCTCGCTTGCCACCTTCTCACATAAAAAAAACATATAACACGGGAAATCAATGAAGATTGGTCATTCATAAAAATTCTTCCCCCGTGTAGTAATCAAAACTGACCTTCTACTTATTTTTATCTTTTGTGAAATGTTGCCAAACTAGCAGACGCTTAATCTGATTAAGTGATTATCGCCTATGGATATCTACAACTCCTCAAGGTTGGCATATAGGTTGCAACCCTTAAGCCAGACCCTGGCACTAGATACTGGTACTACTAATTAATTCCGTTAATTGTGAATTCGAATCAGGAAACCCTTTTGCGAGGCGCGTGGCTTACCAACCCAATTGACGTTTTTCCTATTTTTTCATACAGCTGTATCGCTGAAGGTCGACAGAAAGTGCGTGGTACGACGTAAAAAATGATATAATTGAACATGCTAATTAGCATAAAAACCAAGCAGTTACGGCTAGGTCCGTGCAAAAAGTGTTGTAAGTCATCAGACGTCGGTGATTTCCTTTCAACTTGCCATGAGCATAGAGTAATGACATAATTGTTTGTTACTTTTTTTTATGTCAAAAGTTGCCAAGCGAGCAGACGGTTCACCTGATGTAAAGTGAATACCGCCGCCCATGGACATCTGCTACACCCGAGAGTTCCAGATGCGTTGAAAACCTTTTAAAAATTGGGCTCCGGCCACCTCACTCACCAGACGAAACGCAAAAGTATTATACTTCCACTTTACGCCGGTCTTCTGTGAGGTCGTGGTACTAACCCGGACGAGCCTGCCCATTCGTACAACAGCTGAGGCTGCTGCGTGGTCCTACCACCGTAAAGTAATAATACGTAGGTAAGAGGAGCTGATTTTTAAAGCAATATCTTATGATATATTACACAAAATATAGCTGATATAATTACCGATGGAGATTTTGTAATATACTAATCTAAGACACAGCTCTAAATAAACGTTTAGGTACTCTTTTTATTGATGTTAATATAAATGTTGTTGGCTTTACCAGTAAAATGGTAGAAATTTTTTAGTTGAATAAAAAAGCTTTGAAGTAAAATTCGTAGAAACTGGCAAAATCTTCGCTTCTTAGCTTTCGCTTAATAAATACACACATTTGTGTCGATTGATTTTTTTTATGTGATGGCAAACGAGCTCGCGGTTCACCTGATGTTAATTGATAACCGCCGCCCATGGACATTTGCAACGCCCGTAGTGTTGCAAAGGCGTTGCCACCTTACAATGAGGTGGGCCCCGGCTACCTCACACACCAGACGAAACACAGAAGAATGATACTTTTACTTCACGCCAGTCTTCTGGCAGGTCGTGGCACTTCCCCGGATAGACCTGCCCATTCGTGCATCAGCATCATTCATTGGTTTCATCGTGACTGTATGGAAACATGTGATATGTGCGTGGAATTTTTAAGAAAAACTTTTCCTCCTCCTATTTATAACAGTTATCTGATATATAAAATTCTCGTGTCACGGTGTTTGTAATTGAACTCCTCCGAAACGGCTTGACCCATTTTCGTGAAATTTTGTGTACATATCGGCCAGGGTGGAGAATCGGACAACATCTATTTTTCATCCCCCTAAATGTTAAGGATGGTCCACCCGAAACAGTTTTTTCTACTCTACAAATTCCCTGGAAATAATTTATATGGCAGAACAACGTTTGCCGGGACAGATAGCCTATACATAAAACTAATCACGAGAATGCTTCCCACTATTCAACCACAGGCAGATACTAAGAAATGATACTCAGTTTGAATAACGTGACGTAACATTGAATAAATGAGTTCAGTTTAAGCCTCTTCAGCGAATGAGATGTTATTAGAAATTGTAGAGGTAATAAAAATAGAAATGAAATGAAATCTTAGTATCTTTAAAATTAACATCGCAGCACACTTGGAAAAGAAAAGTAGCTACACGTCTTGACGTGTTTCGTATGATTTATTTTGCTAAAGATATATTTTTTGTTAATCGTTACTTATATTGTGTATGCAAAAGTTTGTTGTTAAGAGTGATATTTTCTCTCGAGAAAGCAGTGGTTTACATGAGCTTTAACAAACAGATCTTTTAGAAATGGAATACTTGTTTTTTTCCGAAAAAAAAATTACAATACGATTTAATTTTTGTCTGAGAACATAACTCATTGGCTCACAAAGAAAGATTGTCAATTGTTTAGAGAATATGGTCATTTTAATTATCGGTGTTAAGCGGCAAGTACATTAACAAATTACCTGTAGGAACTTCCCCCCGGGAAAGCTGAGGCCTAGGATGTCCTTGACTTGGGTGGTGGCAATTATGATGGCGGCTGCTGACGTGAAACCCACCGACACCGGCCCACTGATGAAGTCGATCAGGAAACCTGGAAACATGAACCTGGGTAAGATTATGAGTATCTTTCGTATCCTTCAACCATGACATCGCAGACTGGGGTAGAGGACACCATAAAAGTCTTGTACAGCTTTTTAGTTTAAGTCTAAATAGCCGCGTGGACTAGGTTTAAAATTAATTAATTTAGATGGATTTAATGTTGTAAATATTGGATATAATTTTACAAATGTTTAAGAGAAATGTCAGATATAATATATCAGAATACTACGAGTAGTTTAGAAGATTTGATTATAAAAGATTCTACGAGTTGTCTCATACTGCCAAAATTTAAATAACCTTCAGCCAATTTAAATAGCCTCAGATCGGGTATTTCCACAAAATTTTGCCTGTAAGTACAGGTACGGGCCCTGTACTTCATACTATTTTACAATCACTTTAATTTAATTTTTTTTATACAGCAATTTACTACTACAATCATTACAGGATATCCGTTGCGATAGTGAACTTCACATACAATTAAAGAAACAAACCATACGACGCGCGGGTAAGTGGAAGGAAACGTAATAAATTAATCAGGTACAGATAATAGCTTACAACTACGTTCTCTTCATTACGTTCATCGGGTGATTTCCAGCCCAGTGTAAATGGTTGATCATCACTTCAGGTCTACTGGGGAATTATTAGCGACCTCGACTAATGCATGCATAGGTCCGTGCAATTACGAGCGCTATTGCTTCTTGTTACTACTAATTTATTGCAGCCATTAACAAAGGTAATGGTGCCTATAACGCCCCGTCTCAAGGGTGTCATATGCTCAAGGATTCACATAATATTTAGCATATACGAAAGAATATAAATGAGCCAATTAATTAATATGAGTAATATAAAAGCTATAAATTTTTTGTATATTATAGAATCATTCTCATTCTTCCTATTGTTTCAGTGATAGTCTTTTACAATAAGCAACATTTTCTGAAGTCACGTTAGGTAATTACTTACAAATTCAAAATATTTAACTAGCACTGAGGCCGATTATGATCATCATAATAGAACTAAGAATATTTAATGATGGTGAAAACTCTTTAATCCACATATAATTTAATATCAGTTTGTACCTTTCATGTTCAGGCATCAGTGGAAGCTGAAATAAGTGGCGCAAATATGAGCTTCTTTGCTCAAATTCATGTCATTTGCAGTCCAAATATAATTATATTAATTAAATTTTTCCTGTGTAGTGGTGAAGTCCTATTGGGGCCGAATATATTTTTTTAGGCCACAAAAAACTTAACGTAATTATCGTCTGATATCAATATCCCGTCCAATAATGGGGAGCATGGGGTTTATCGTTCACTCGGTCGAACGGCATGAATATACTTTGACGTTCAAGATCTGCTTCATCGACTACCGAGTTTTTCGTTTTATAACCTACTAGCTTTTCGCCCGCGGCTTCGCTCGCGTTGAAGCCTTTAAATAAATATCTTTCTTTTTAGCTTTCAACCAATTACAACACTTTTTTCCTTTTAAAAAATAGCCTATGTCCTTTTTCAGGCTCTTGACTATCTGTGTAACAAATCGGTTCAGTAGTTATGGCGTGAAAGCGAGACAGACAGACAGAGTTAATTTCGCATTTATAATATTATTATGGATATATAGGAGCCCACCAGTGCCGCAAAATGGTAGCAAAACATAGAAGGTTGGAACAGAGCACTGGTTTTGATGATATGTTTTAACATCTTCAACGGGATATCCGATCTTGTAGCCCTCCATGGTGAAATTTCCATGCTTTATAAGTACAGTTATCCAATCCAAAAAAAAAAGTTATCCAATTCGGCAGCTGTTGTTTTATCGGCATGATCGCGAAACGAACTTCCTTATTGAAAATTCCTTTATATATGAATTTAAAACATCAACATTTTCATAGCCGCTTGTAAAACTTTCTCTTTATTTGCGAACTTGTGAAAAATTATGGTGTTCACTTGAAATGAGCTTCGATTAAAATTATTAATTTATTCCGTTATCCCCGTATCGTCTATCCTAATAACCTTAGAAAGTAAACACTAATCTACTGATTTAGTGTTTACTTTCTAAGGTTAGACTAACACTTACCATCAAGTGGGATAGCAATAAAGCATTAGACATTCCCGTATAAAATCACTACAATATCTACCCTTTTTCAACCGACTGCAATAGGAGGTTCTCAATTCGACTGTATTTTTTTTTATTGTTTGTTACCTCATAACTTTCGAATACCGGACCGATTTTGTTTCTTTCCCATATTAATTTCATTGGTATTGGATCCTGGGCTCCGGAGATACTTAGATAACTCCTGACAATCAATTATAAAATGAATACAGAGCGAGATTTGAAGTCGCTATTGTTTTTCGCTATAAAAAGAACTTGTTTAAGTGTGAAGTTGTCAAACGAGCCGGTGGTTCACGTGATGTTAAGTGACAACTGCCGCCCATTGATATTTGCAACAGCTACTAAGAGTTGCGACTTTCAAAAAGTTGGCCCTGGCTACTTCAATCACCAGACGAAACGCAGAAGTATAACGCTTTCGGTCTTCCTGTCTAAGTGTTGCGTGGCCCTACGACAGTCGAAGACGCGAATGCAAGGCGTTGTTATCAAATAATAAATCGTTTACATACATGGACACTAAACAAATGCGTGTGACAATATTTCCCTTTGTTGTTTTTCCCGTGTCACTTTAAACAATGACTGGGTGATTATGAGCGAGGTTGTTTCCTCGTAAGAATTATATCAACTGACGAACACAGCGATGATACATATTACAGCTCTGGTAGCGTACTAAATTACATGTAATCTATTCAACTTAGGTAACTACGGGTTTGAAGGTTGACGATTACCCCTTACGAAGTGCAATTAA